GAGCACCTGGAATGCAAAATGGTATCCATATGGGATCCCAGTGCTGCGAAAGTGAGGATTTAGCCAGTGAGCTATTGTGCCAGTTTCCACAGAAACCTTTCTAAAAAAGTACAGTACATCCTATGATGTAATTAGCACACAACAACAAACATACACTAATACAATAACACAGGGGACTCTTGACTATACTAACTTAAAAATAAAAGACCCGCTCCTTAGTTCTCGCCCTACTTCCTAGGTCAGACCATGGGCACTGGACATGCCTCCGACACTTCTGACGTGCATGCGGGTCAGGACACAGCAATGCAGGCCGAGTGGTGGAGGTGAAGCACGTCCCCTAGGCCTCTAACGAGCCAGGGAACTGGCCCCTGGATGAACACAGGGGGCTGGAACCTGCTCACAGCCAGGTTCCTACTTCTAGGAAGAGGTGCTCAGCTCTTCCCACATGGAGGTCCTGTCCAGGGTGTTGTGTGGCTGCAAGCGGCAGTTGCCATCCACTTGCCCTGGCCCAGCCTTTCTGGCTCTCTTTCTGAACACAGCAGTCACTCAAGATAGGGCATGGGTGACAGGTGACTTCCTCAGAAGGAAGGTGATGGGAACAAGACATTCAAGGCTGTCAACAGTGACTGAACAAGGGTGGGAGCTCTGGGATCCTTGGGTTCGGATGAGTCCACCCTAGATGCATTTTCCTTCCTCTTTGAGGTGGGCTGTCGGGAGCCAGGAAATGCACGTGCGACCCTCACCCAAGGATTCGATCAGGGCTTGTGGTTTCTAGCTTCTGAGGGGTCAAGCCCTTGCTGCTGTATTAGAAGCCCCAAGCTGAGCTTCGTGTCTTTGCTGGGAGAATCATCATCCCCCAAGAGGAGGGCCTAGGCCCTACTGAGGCAGCCAGGAATATTTGCCTCGGTAATGGGACAAGTACAGACCTGAGCATTAAAGCTATGTATAGACTTTCGGCTTGGCAGTAGTTCTGGGACATGGGTTGAGGGTCTTAGAGAACCTGTGACCCCTTGTGCTAAGGTAAACTCTAGTTGGTGGAAGTGGGAGGGACTTCCTGCATGCTGCTGGCAGGTTAGACCCTCCCAGGCAGGGAGCTAGAGGGGGAGATCAGGAAGAGAAGAGAAATGTGACATTGGTGGAAAGAACTTGAGAGGAGGGCCCAGTGCAGTAGCCTAGTGGCTAAACTCCTCGCCTTGCACGCTTGGGGATCCCATATGGGCGCCAGTTCATACCCTGGCCGCTCCACTTCCCATCCAGCTCCCTGCTTGTGACCTGGGAAAGCAGTTAAGGATGGCCCAAGGCCTTGGGACCTTGCACCTGCGTGGGAGGCCCCTGGCTCCTGGCTTTGGATCAGCTCAGCTCCAGCCATTGCAGCCACTTGGGGAGTGAATCAGCGGATGGAAGATCTTCCTCCCTGTCTCTCTTCCTCTCTATATGTCTGACTTAAAATAAATAAAGCTTTCAAAAAAAAAAAAAACTTGAGTGGAAAGAATCTGTAAGGAGTATGGACACTGAGCAGTTAGGAGTCCAGCTGTGTCCGTGGTTTCCTAGCAACAGCTATTGAGCAGGTGGTTGCTAGGCGATATGGGCCATCCAGACAGTTGGGTAAGGACCTGCCTCTGCGTGGGCCCAGATCAGAACATCACAAGGTACTGTGAATCCTGAAAACAACCACTGGAGTCATCGTTTAAGTTTTCTCAAATATTAACGGCTCTTGTGGCACAAAAAATAATAATACATCAATAGTGTGCAAGGTCTGGAAACATGAGGGAGAAGTCAGCCATAATCTCGGCATCTAAAGAGTGTGAAAATCATCAGGCTTGCTCTTTCCACCCCCGGCTCTGCAGGACTGTGTATTCATCTTGTTATCATCCCGGCACACGTGGCTGCGGATCTCGCTCTGCGACGCTGATCTGGATCATCCCGCAGGAGTTTTCAGGACAGCCTCGCTGATCACTGCACGATGCCATGCACCCTCATTTAATTAGGTTTTTTCCTCTTGTTCTAGCATTGATTTTCCTTCCCATTTTTCTTTTGCCTCGATAAACAGTATCACAGCCACACAATCTTCTGCAATGAGCTCCTTTCTCCACTAGATTACTGTCTTGAAATCAATACTAAGGAACGGGCCAGCAGGATCAAAGGATAGACATCCTTTCTGGAATTTCCATGTCCTACTAAATTGCTTCTTTCAGAGGCAATCCCAGTAGACCCTACTATCATTTTATGATCCCTTCACTTCCTTTAAAAAAAAAAGAATTTATTTTTATTGGAAAGGCAAATTTGCAAAGAGGAGACAAAGAGAGAAAGATCTTCCACCTGCTGGCTCACTCCTCAACTACAACAACTGGAGCTGAGTTGATACAAAGTCGGGACTCGGGAGCTTCTTGCAGGTCTCCCACACAGATGCAGGGTCCCCAGGCTTTGGGCTATCCTCCACTGCTTTCCAAGACCACGAGCAGGGAGCTGGAAGGAAAGTGGAGCAGCCAAGGCAAGAATCAGCATCCTTATGGGATCATGGTGGTTGCAAGACAAGGATTAGCCAGCTGGGCTACTGCTTCTGACCTGATCCCTTCATTTTCTAAAGGGGAAATAGAGACCCTCTGGAGAAAAGGAGTTGGCCCAAGGTCCCACAGTCAGCACCTGCCCTAGTTCTAAGTCCCTAAGCCTCTCCATCCTTCCCCACTCATGACATCCACATAGATAATCCCATTTTGGAAGGTCAAAAAGGTATTTGGCATCTCCTAATTCATCTACTTGCTCTTACTGACCAATCCACAAGCTTGTCGAGCAATTCTTGGCTCACCCAAATGTTTTGAGGATGTTTTTGTGTTGAAAGATGAAAACTACTTGAACACTATCTGTCTGAAGGACAGAGTCCTTGAGAGAATAATGGCAAAGTCACGGCTGGCACAAAGCCCAGGCTTCCTCCTGGAACTCTCTGGAAATATTCCAAAGCGCGCCCACCATGCCTTAGAAGGGTACCTGCTGCAGACTTTGGGATCATGACTACTACAAGGTAGCAGCCCATGTGATTCTAGGGACCACATGGTTCCTGAGGGGGTGGGGAGCTCATGGTCCTATGTAAGCCATGAATACCAACGACACAGAGTAAGATGCTTGTTCTAGCTTCCCAGGGCATGGCGTGTGTTTCTTGGGTCACTCCCTCTGCCACTGCCCAGGGGCTTGGATGTCCTCTCTCTCCTTCAGAGATCCTGGCCTTTCCCTACTGTATGGGTCACCCTCGCAGCAGAGGTTCTGAGATGCTGTGGAGAATACAAAGCGCAACAGGAGGCACCTGCAAATTCATGTTGGAGAAATAGTCTCAGGATCATGAAATACCTCTGCCTATAATTGAGCAAAGCTGGTGGTCACCCCTGCCCCACACTGAACCTGTTTGCAGTTCATCTCTACCGCCCGCCCCCCTCGTCCCAGTCCTGGGGCATCGCCAATCTGTTTTCTTTCTTTCCGGAAACTTCATAGAAGTGGAATTATATACTCTAAGGTCTTTTTAATTTTGGCTTTACCCATTTACTAATGTTTTTGAGGTTCTTCCAAGTTGCAACAAATATCAATAGTTCATTCATTTTATTGCTGAAACATAGTTTCCAGTCTCATAAATCCAACCATCTTTGGTTTATCCAGTCACTACTGGATGGACATTGGGATTGTTCCCAGTTTGGAGCTGTCCCCCAGGATGCTGTTAGGGACATTCATGTACTTGCCCAAGTACATGTGGACACTTCTGTTGAGCAGAAGTGTAGGAATGGAATTGCTGGGTTGGATGATAACTGCCAAAATACTTCCAAAGTAGGCCCATCGCGTTCCACTCCCTACAAGGAGGGGCCCGTCCTCTCCTTAGGGTGGCTAAGTTACTTTTTTCCAGCTGGAGTTGTTGCACTGTGAGCAAGTGAGGCTGCTGCTGCCAACTCCCATTCTTTCGTTCAACAAACATTATCTGTGTACCTAGCACTACCTGGCAGGGCGAGAAGTCCCTGAGAACACTTAAAGATGGACAGAGACAGTGCTCTGCTCCTGGTTCCTGCGGAGCCCTCCAGCTGCAGAGGGAGGGGAGTGAGCTCTCCAATGGCTGTTGGCGTTGGCTGTGCTGCCACCCGCAGGGCCATCCTAGCAGACTTCTGTCCCCTATTGGACCCACATAACGGTCCTCCACAACTGCCCCCCACCAATTCCTTGAAGGTGTACTAACCAGCCTTGGAAACTTGAGTGCAACAAAGCTTCCAGGGGCTGATAGTGCCAGCAATCTGTGGCAGCGGCAGCAGAAGGCCGGATTCAGCCTGGTGGGTGCCCAGAGTAGAGCCAGCTGGGGACACGGAACAGGCTCAGGTCAGGCGTGTCTCTGAAAGAACCTACTTTGAATCACATGTGAGATGCCCACAGGCTGAGGTCCTGTGCACGTGGGAGGAAAGCAGGTGGGAAAAACAGGATGCACAGATGCAGACGGAGATGGGGGGCTGGGCAGTGACTTTAATCACATTGCAGCTGGATGTGGGATCGTATTGGCCTTTGGTATTGATTTTGCCTGCTATGCCAAGCTGCAAATTCTCTAACTAAAATTACGTGTTAGTCTTTTCACGTATTAGAAACAAATGTTAAAACCCCGAGCAAATGTTTATTTTGGAATGAGGAATATTCATTAAACTCTGGGGAGTGGGGAACCTGGCCTTCTGCATGCCAGGACCCTTTTTGTGTCCTGAGGGTCCCGGCTCCTGGCTAGCGCCTCTTTCCCACGTAGCAACGCCGCCAGTCTGGTTGCCATGGAGACGAACCCGGCGGTTCAGGGACCTGAGAGCCCCAGGCTGGTGGTGAGCTGGAGCCTCCGCCACAGGCTGGGGGGCGGCAGGGGGCGGAGCCAGAGGAAGTGGCGCCTCCGCTGAGAGGCCCAGCGGACCCTGCAAAGCCCCCTCAGCCCCGCTGGCTCCGCCCCCTGCCGCCCCCACCAGGGAAAGTAGAAATACAGCAGCTGCTCCAGCTTCCACTGTCACCGCCACTGCCACCACCCACTGCGCTTGGACCCAGCACCTGCCCTCGCTCCGTGCCAATGGCTGACGGGCTCTTCCAGCGCAGACACTGGGGCGCGGAGCGGATGCGCTCAGACTCTGACCCGGAGTCCGAAGGCCTCTTTGACAAACCTCCACCCGAAGAGCTGCCCACTGCCCGCGCGCCCAAGTCCGGGTCGGCCGTGGGCAGGCGGGGGGCTCGGCGCGCGGGCGGGAAGGCGCAGGGGACGCGCGCGGGGCAGTCTCTGAGGGCTGTGGTGCGCCCCCAACCCAAGGAGGAGGTGCCTCCCCTGGAGGAGGGCTGCTACCTCGACCATTTCCCGCACCTCTCCATCTTCATCTACGCCGCCATCGCCTTCTCCATCACCTCCTGCATCTTCACCTATATCCACCTGCAGCTGGCCTGAGTGGCAGCAGGTGCGCGTCAGATGGGTGGTGCGGGGAGGAGCAGGGGCAAAAGAGCTCAGCATTTTGTTTCAGCGATGGGCTGCACACCCTTGACCCCGCTTTCTATTGACTTTCTATTGTTTCTTCCCTGTTGTTTCTGTCTTTGTCTAACCGTCCATCAGCAGGAAGATCCAGAGGGGTGGGAGGCCATGAAATGAGGATGGGGTGGGGCGGAGCCCCTGCACCTGCAGGATGGGGGCGGGGAGCATTCAGCAACCGGCGTTTAGGAGTGCGCCTGAACCCCATTTATAACTAAGAGAACATTTCTGAGCCCTACTAGTTTGTGACCCTGGGCACACACGAGGCGCCCAACGTTTAGGATTTGGGAAGCGCGGAGCGAGCCCAGTCTTGTAGGAGATGAGCTAGACCTGGGCCCTGTGGCTAGGGTTGGTGCCCTGGGCTGGTCTGGAGACTTGAGATGCTCCTGCATCACCGCTGTGGCCGAGAGCTGGCGCAGTGCGAACTCAGAGCGCGGGGAACTGGAGGACCTGGGGACATTGTGGGCAGCCCGGGGGCGCTGGAGAGGTGAGTGGCACACATAGGCTCTTGGTGCCACGGGTCCCCAGGGCGCCACTCACCTAAGCTGTGCCTTTTTACTGCCTTAGGCTTTGCTACGGCTGCCAGACAGAGCCCAGAGCTGTAGCCACGGACGGGTCTGAGAGCTGTAGCTATGAGAGCTGTTCTACCAGGACGCCACGCTTCGGGGCACATCTGGGACTTCGTGGGACCCGCAGCTGTGGAACTCGCAGGATGCAGGATCGGCGCTGGGCCTGTCCTGCGGAATGAGACTCTGGGGGGCTCTGAATGGGGTCCACGGAAGGACATCCTAGGGGACTGGAACTTTTTGGGAAATCCGTCACTGACCAGAGCTCTGGCTGAGGCTCTTTGAGGACCCCCCCCCCCAAAAAAATTACCTGCTAGCAGCACAGCACCCTCCTTGGTGGGTTATTCATCTGCTTGCCATCTATGTAAAATGTCCCAGCCGCAGCCTCTGCCACTGCCACCTCCCTTACCTGACGAGTGTAACTGTGCGATTCTGATGGAATAAATCATCTCTGTGTGCTCTGTCTTCAGTTCTCTATTGATTTCCACCCATGCAGTGGGCCCTGCCAAACTTCCTCCTCTGCTCCATCTTTTACCCCCATCATCCTCACAGCATCTCTGCTGACTGCACTCACTGGCCGAGCATGCGGCATTCAGCACCTCCCTCCACTACTTGGCCTCTGGCCCCACGTCAGGTCCCCGCCGCGTACAAGCTCCTTCACAAGCACAGGCCACTAGCCCACTGCGGCATTACTGACTGCTCCCACGTTCTCAGTCCCCACTTGCCTGCTTTATCAAGGCACTTCTGGCCTAGTCCAGCCTTCTGATCCACTCAGCCTGGGTCTTCATAAATTCTAGTTCCCCAGTTCTGACTTCTCACACCTCACAGTAGACTAGATAGCTTGTCCTCTGTGGCATCCTGTGCCCTGCCAGCCCATAAAAAAATCGCATCTCCAACATCCACCTCTGTTCTCCGGTTTTCAGTCTTGGATACTGGAATTTTTTTTTTTTTCCTCCCAGGTGGGCCACAATTACCAGAATTGAGCCAAGCCAAAGACAGGAAGCGGAGCTGGGAACTTTTCCCTGGTCTCCCTCATGAGTACGGCAGGGGTCCAAAGCCCTCAGGCCATCTTTCATTGCTTTTCCCAGGCTGTTGGCAGGGAGTTGGATTAGAAGTGGGGCAGCTGAGACACAAACCACTGAACTATAGAGGACACTGCTGTTGCAAGCAGTGGCTTTACCAGATATGCCACAGAGCCCACAGGGCTGGCCCCATGGCACTGGCCGCTATTTCTTAGTATTGACTAGACTGAAATCCAAAACATGGTCTTTTCCTCACATGCTTGACCCTGTTAATTCCCTTTTACACATCTCCTCTTATCTCCTTATACAGTTCTCCCACCCCTTTCTGTGCCAGCAAATCTGGGGCCTCCCGCAGATAAGTTTCCATCAGCTGGTTCACTTCCCAGATGACCACCAGTAGTCCAGGCGCCCATTAAGAACCAGTCAGGAGCCAGGAGCTCAACCTGCATCTCCCACATGGGTGACAGAGACCCAGCAACTGAGCCATCACCTGTGGGCTCCCAGGAAGCTGGAATCGGGTGCTGAAGCCAGGGTGGGCCTCCAGCACTCGGAGGTGGAATGCCTTCTTAACTGAACTCTCCAAATCACTAAGCCAAACACCTGCCCCTGGGTTTGCATCTTCTACACTAAATCCTGATATACTACAGCTTCTCTGGTTACACTGTTATTAGGTTCTAGTGCCTATAACAAAAACATCAGTCTTCATATTCTCTGAAACAGGGCCCAGCACGATAGCGTATGGTTAAAGTCCTCACCTTGAATGTACCAGGATCACATATGGGTGCCGGTTCTAATCCTGGCAACTCCACTTCCCATTCAGCTCCCTGCTTGTGGCCTGGGAATGCAGTCGAGGACAGCCCAAAGCCTTGGGACCCTGCACCCGTGTGGGAGACCCAGGATAGGCTCCTGGCTTCGGATCAGCTCAGCTCCAGCCATTGTGGTCACTTGGGGAGTGAACCATCGGACGGAAGATCTTCCTCTCTGTCTCTCCTCCTCTCTGTATATCTGACTTTCCAATAAAAATAAATAAATCTTTAAAAAATATATATTCTCTGGAATACTCAGTGCCAGTTGGTCCCTTAATTTCAGGGTGGGAATTTTCCCCAGCCATTATATTCTCGGTCAGCTCACTGCTTTCCCATGTATTTGCTATCAATTTTCAATGAGACTTTTGGCTCTACTGAGCTCCAAGTTGAACCTGCACTTTCTAAACAGTTTTACATGCCCAATACATCTCCCATCCTCTCTGATCACACCAATCCTTCTTCAGTTTATCCGTGAACATATCTTCGCAGATCCCCCTGACTGCCCCTTCAGATTTCACTGTTACAACTTTCCTATATTGAGTTCTCAGCTGCCCTAACTTCTGGGCTTAAGTTTTTGCCTGTCTACTCAGTAGTAATGTATAACCTTTCCAGGAGTTGATCATAAAATACAAAATGAGCCCAATTTTGGTCTTTGTGCTGTATGGCTCAAGAATCAACTTTCAGTATTATAAGCTGGGGAGTAGCCACAGGCCCACCTTGGCCCAAAAGGCAGATGCAGCAGCTTAAGAACCAACACCACAAGATAATATGAACCATGAAAAAAACTGAAGTGCCATGGATGCTACATTCCCTAGGCTTTCAAGCAGGTCACAAAAGATGGAGAGCCACGTGCTTTGGGCAACTGTCCTATTACGCACCGAGTTGTCAGGGCAAGTTGACACCTTCAGACAAGGTGAGCGGTGGTTTCTGAATACTTTTCGGAAAGACAGTAGGATGACAGCAAGGGTGAGGCCAATCAGACTTCAGCTGTCATTTCCCTTAATGGGAAGTCAATACCTTTTTGATTATTTGAAGATGCACATCCCATGAGGTCTGTGATTGCTCTAACTTGGTGGCTTCAAACACTAGAAATGATTTTCTTTCATGGTTCTGGAATCCAGAATTATCTTCTGTCTGCTGGTTCACTCCACAAATGGCTGCAATGGCTGGAGTTGAGCCATTCTAGAGCCAGGAGCCAGGAGCTTCTTGTGGGTCTCCCACATGGGTGCAGGGTCCCAAGACTTTGGGCCATCCTCGACTGCATTCCCAGGCCACAGGCAGGGAGCTGGATGCGCAAGGCGAGGATTTAGCCACTGAACCATCGTGTCAGGCCCTGTTTCTCTCTTATACAGATATTGATTGGACATAATGACTACCCAGGAAGTTCAGGATGATTTTCTCATCTCCAGAGCCTACATTTAATTACACCTGCAAGATCCTTTTTCCAAACAGGACAAATCCAAAAACAAAACATTTAAGAAATTCATACATTTAATGTATAGGATTGGGGGAAAACAGGACTTCTTGATAATAAACATATTCCAGGTAAACATTTCTAAATCTATGAATAATCACAAATATGAGCATCCAAGCTACTCCTTCTCTATGTAAAGACAAACAAAAATCCCATTCTTCAGGGACAAGGAGGGCAAGCAATACCTTATAAGCAATCACTACTTATCATTTCTACCCATTCCTCAAGTGATTCAAAGATACTGAGTACTTGGTGCCTTTGGGAATGAATAACTTAATTACGTAATAGAATTAGCAGATTCCAAAACTAACAAGTGTGAGAAAATCTGTATGAACACCTAACAGTAAATATAAATTCCACTACAGGCTACCACTCCATTTCCTGCTTTTCTATTCCATCCACATTCCTTTTTTTTCCCCGCTGGACTCCAAGACAGTGAATTGTTTAACATCAGCAGGGCCTTGGTGATGCAAAGAATTTACTTTGAAAACAAAAGCACCATCTTTCTTTCTTAGTGAAGATCAAAATAGTTTCCTTCGCTACTTGATCTTTTTTCAAACAGCTATCAATTTTCTCACATAGGAATGACCCACAGAGCATGGACTGGCTGACAAAAGAGCTATTTGATTAACCCTTCTAGCTCCCACAGAATAGGCCTAAAGGATCAAGGCCACAGAAAAACTCATGACTAATATACAATTCCACAAATATTTTTGACTGGCTAAAACTTCACTTATTCCTTCATGCACCCAACTGTGCTGCTACTGAAGCAAGAATCCCATTCCACCTGTTGGAGGCCTCTAAGGAAAAGAACTTCATGGACTATTTCAAGGGAATACAGAGATCTTTCAGGAAAATGCATCAAAAGGCAGGAAGATATGGATTCTACATAGCAAACAAAGTCTAATAAGATATGCGTTTCTTTTGGACAGTCATTGGTGCAAATTTCTTAACATTTTTTTTGACAATCTCTTTGTCAATGATAAGAATTTAAAATATTTTCAGTTTTTTGCTTTCCTTTTCCACATTGTCTCTGATGTTCTGGAGTTTTCTGGAGTTCTGGATTAGGAACACCAAACCCTCCCTAAAATCACTAGTTCCATGATCTCTGCCAACGTTCTCAAGTTCATCAAAGAAAGCCAGTGTCTGTTTGAGTTTAGCTTGGACGATTTTTTGCTCTTCTAATTCTGCAAGAAGGGCCTCTTTGGTACACAATTCAGTCTTGAACTTTTCCTGCAAATGCTGAATTTCTTGTTGGAGAAGCTCGATTTCTTCCTCACTACAAGGATGCAACTCTTGACATTTGTCTTCAGGAAGCAAGATGTTTGAGGGAATACGCAGAATCAACTGCAAAAACAGCTGCTCCATTTTGCCAAACAGATGATCGAAACGCCCTTTCAGGAAGCCAAGGAATTTCTCTGTGCATGTACGAATCTGGACCGGGCTGATCTCACAGCCTGGGATGCCATCCAGCTTCTTCAGAATCACCTGTTCCACAGCTTGCATCACTTCAAACAGGTAATCTTGAAAGGCAATGTAGATCCTAAGCATGCATGTTTGGGGTGTGAAGCCAAAGAACTGGGCCTCGTAGGTCATGGGATCGACAGACATCTTGGCTGGTTATTTTTGGTGGTTAAAGATCTGTGTAACGTAAAAGAAGAAGTTCATTTGGAGCCCCCAAAAAAATCATCTGAAGAAATCACAAAATACAGATCGCAAACAAACTAGGAAGCAAATAAAAAAAAAAAAAAGGAGCTTGTGCTCACTGATACCTGAAGCTATCAACTTGGCCAAAACAGGACACAAAGCTTGCCTCTCTGAGGTTCTTTCCATCAGTCTGCATCTTGCCTTTCTCCCTATCATCATTTATTTCCCCCAACTCCAACATCACTGACAGCTGTAACACATGGCTCAACCTAGGTAATTCGGGAGTCTGGACAGATGACCTATCAATGCCTTAGAGGCACTTAGTCTCTTGAACTTCAGTAACCTACACCTCCATTCTTTTAGCCACCTAGCTCTACATTTTTTGCAAACACCACTACCCCAATGCTCACCAACTATTCCTACTTCTGGCCCATCGCCTCTGCTATCCTCATTCACAGTTACACATCATGCCTTGATGTTCAAAGCTTTCACAAGGGTGAAAGCTTTGAACCTTGTCACTCTTGCTTTCAGTCTCTCCTATTGTCGCTTCTTTCTCTAACATTTAAATCACTCCATTAGGCCTGGTGCAGTGGCCCAGAGGCTAAAAGTCCTCACCTTGAATGCACCAAGATCCAATATGGTTCTAATCCTGGCAGCTCCACCTCCCATCCAGCTCCCTGCTTGTGGCCTGGGAAAGCAGTCGAGGACGGCCCAAAGCCTTGGGACCCTGCACCCGCATGGGAGACCTGAAGGAGGTTCTTGGCTCCTGGCTTCAGATCAGCACAGCACCGGCCGTTGTGGTCACATGGGGATTGAATTATCGGACGGAAGATCTTCCTCTCTGTCTCTCCTCCTTTCTGTATATCTGCCTTTCCAATAAAAATATAAACAAACAAACAAACAAATAAATAAATCCCTCCAGCAGCAATGTCCTCTATCACCTAACCTTTCAGCCCAATCAAGACGAGCAAATCTCAGATTGTATAAATCTTTCACCTTTTACTAAAGATTTCTGTGGAGAAGATGAGCAAAGCTCTAGTCAGCTTTGCAGCTCTGACTTGCCTTTTGACCAGTCTGGGAGTTATCTCTTTCCAAAGGTAAATATGACCCCATCCCACCTGTCTGACCACTCCTAACCATGTGTCTTACAGCTTCAGAACTGAGTTGATGATACTTCCTATTTCTTGGTCCATGATAGGTACTCAATTATTATGTTTTCAAAAGATTTTACTTATTTTTGGGCCCAGCACAATAGCCTAGTGGCTAAAGTCCCCACCTTAAATATGCCAGGATCCCATATGGACACTGGTTCTTATCCCAGCAGCTTCACTTCCCATCCAGCTCCCTGCTTGTGGCCTGGCAAAGCCAGGACAGCCCAAAGCCTTGGGACCCTGCACCCATGTGGGAGACCCAGAAGAGGCTCCGGGCACCTGGTTTTGGATTGGCTCACTTCCAGCCCTTGCAGCTGCTTGGGGAGTGAACTAGTGGACAGAAGATCTTTCTCTCTTTCTCCTTTGTAAAAACTCTGCATTTCCAATAAGAAAAATAATATCAGATGGCGCTATGGACAGAACTGACCAGGTGACTGGAATCACCAGTATATGTGTAGGCTGATACAAGTGATGGACTGAGCTGGACCCTGCACTGCCTGGCACATACAGGAATCAAATCTGAGATGTCATCTTTTGGTGAGGTTTCTTTGAGGTTCCCCCAACTGAATCACTGGATTCAGAACTCCAACCACAGTAAAAATTACAGGATCTGTGGTCTGACCATGGAGTGCATGTGTCAGAACTGGCTCTCCACAGCTATGAGGTCTGTGCAGTGAATGGCATGCCCAGATGCTCAGGGGGGACATGACAAACAGTTCACTGAGGCCTGCAGAGGACATCTAGTGTCATGGAGGGTAAAACAAATAGGACAGATCCCTCAACAAGTATCTGGGAGAATCGAGACTCTAAGGTGGACTATGTAAACCAACGGACCTTGGAGGAATTTTCTCAACCTTGGAGCAACAAATCAACAGCATCTCAGAACTATCAAAACCACTTAAGCAGCATCCTCAGAACATCCTCCATATCAGGGAGCCTGGGATGACATCATTTGACCTTCCCCAATTCCTGGGTACTAATGTGGATGGGCTGCTAGGAGCAGCCCTCGCCCCTTCTCTCTCCACCTTCCCCAGATACCAGAAGAAAAAAGGAGACTGGAGGTCGCTGTCTCATTCACTTTCCACCATTCCTCGACCATCCCCACCCTAATTGGTGGTCCAAATGAGCAGGTATCCCTCTCAACTACGTAAACACTATGAAAAAATAAATTTATTATTAAAAAAGGAAAACTATAATTCATGTTATTTTTTTTCATGTTTGCGACCACTTCACATTATAGTCAAGTATATTGGCTCTGACTCAAGTACTCTATCAGTTTCATTTATTTATATTTTCAAGTTTACTTTTATTTACTAAGAGGCAGGATGACAAGTTACTTATTTCCATCTGCTGGTATAGTGTCTGAAAATCTGGGGACCAGGAGTGAACCTCCCATGTGTATAGGAGTTTGTGAGTAGCATCTAATACCAGATGTGCTGCAATGAACCCTTCTTTATGAGATCTTAAACAGGCCTGGCAGAGTACAACTCACTCAAACACAACCTCACTAATTTTTTTTTAATGAGCTCCAGCACATCCAGAGTGGCTTACACATCCTCTAGGAGTTTCTTTCTCATTTTTGCCAACTCTTGATAAATTCAGCATTCTAACCTTACCCATTTGGTATGTGTGAAAATTTTTTACAACTTTTTTTTTTTAACCAGAATCATCTAGCCCTACCGCCTGGATGGACACTAAAAACTCTCCTATACCTTGCTCCCCAGCCCCAGTGCTTACACTAGTCTGAGTGTATGATTCTAAGAGCATACGATCTTCAGGCTTGATTTTAACAAACTTCCTCAAAGATGGCTCTGTTGTTCAAAGGCAGGCACTGACAACCTGCACCTTAAGATTCTCTGGACCCCCCGGCGCGGTGGCGCAAGTGGTTAAGGTCCTCGCCTTGCACGCCCGGGATCCCATATGGGCGCCGGTTCTAATCCCGGCAGCCCCACTTCCCTTCCAGCTCCCTGCCTGTGGCCCGGGAAAGCAGTCGAGGACGGCCCAAGGCTTTGGGACCCTGCACCTGCGTGGGAGACCCGGAAGAGGCTCCTGGCTTCGGATCGGCATAGTATCGGCCCGTTGCGCTCACTTGGGGAGTGAATCATCGGATGGAAGATCTTCCTCTCTGTCTCTCCTCTCTGTATATCCGCCTTTCCAATGAGAAAATAATAAAAATAAATCTTTAAAAAAAAAAAAAAGATTCTCTGGACCTTACACCAGCACATAGCTCAAGAGGCTAATCTCCAACACACCCCTCCCCACCCCGTCACCCTCCTTAGCTACCCACAGCTTCAAGTCTCAGGGCTCCTAAGGACCTTGCCTGGTCTCCCTCAGTTCCAACCAGGAAGAATGCCAAGGCCAACAGACCTCCAGGCCAGATGACTCACAGCCTCCTCTCAAGCCCTAGCTCTGCCAATTAACTAAATTCTACCATCTCGGCCTAATCAACATCTGAAGATAAACTGTGACAACCTGAAAATTCACAATGGCGTCAGTTCTGTCAGGTCCTCAGGGTGGGCAAAAAAACAAGTTCTGTCAGTGACACATATGCAGGACCAAAATATTATAAGGCCACCTGTGCTCTTGTTCTGCATAAACACTTACCCTTTCAAAAGCTTAACATAACTAACAGTGTATTGTTTCTCCTAACAGCGCCTGGCAGGTGGTTGCAGCAGGTAGACCTCCCGATAATCCTCAAATTAGCACTCAGCTATCAAGTTTCTCCTGATAACTCAGGCCAAAACACAGGTCTTTCACAGCCCTGGGACCAAAGAGTGCTCAACCTTGAGAAGACACCAAGAATTCCTGAGAGTTCCCCCTTCATCTTAGTTCATCGGATAGTTTTTCCCAGACTGTCGGCGCTGCTCCCCTCTTCCACCTGTGGTGGCACCGGGACAGTCTGTCACCAGTGAATAAAGACTCCTGAGCTTCTTGTCTCCGACTTATTTTGGGGATAGTATCGGTCACCTTAGAACATGCCCAGGCCCTCTCAGCAAACTGCGTTGCCTAAAAGGCCCCGTCACCTCGCTTGGACAGAACCCAGACACACTGTGGCAGGGACGGCTCCTGGCCTGGTCCGCGTCCCTGTCAGGCCCGGAGACCACCACGCTGACAGGACCCCAGACACGTTAAGACGGAGACAGCCCCTCAGACCCCTCAAGGCACACATCACTGCCAGGCCCTGAGACCACCACGCTGACAGAGCCCCAGACATTAGTCAGGTAGGGACATCCCCTCAGCCCCCTCAGGCCCCACGTCCCCCTCAGGCCCTGAGACCACTGCGCTGACAGGACCCAGTCATAGTCTGGGGTCTCCATGAGGCCCTGAGACCACCACACTGACAGAAGCCGGGGTCCTTGTGAGGCCCTGAGGCCACGAGGGATAGGACCCAGCCACAGTCCGGAGTCTCCGTGAGGCCCTGAGGCCCCGCCAGTAACCGGACCTGCGGGGCTGAGCCCGGCTGAGGGTTGGGGCGATCCACCCACCACACACCTCCGGCGCGACAAGACCCAGCCCAGCCCCCGCGGGCGATCTTTCTCAGAGAAAATTTCCGCCCCGCGGCACTCACCGTGACAGCCTTCAGGGCGAAAATGCCCACCTCACAGCAGCTTCCCGCCACCTCCTTTAAACTAACCGCCAGTGCCTGACGACCAGCCGGGGTGAGGCTCGCCCCACCCCCGAAGGCCGACCGATCGGCGCGTCCGCCAACGAAAGCAAAGGCGGGATGCTATCGCTCTCCTGATTGGCTGGCTGGCCTGTTCGGAGACGGAGCGTCTTGATTGGTGACAGAGAAGGGCCAGGCGGGAAAAACTAGCTGTGTCCAGCGCGGATTGGTAGGAAGAACAAATATTAGTTCTACGTAGGTGGGAGGCGGAGCAAATCTGGGACGCCGCCATTGGTTGCTGTGTGATCGAGCGGCGCTGATTGGACAGCAGCGAGTAGGCAAACTCGGGAGCTTTGAGCCCGCCCCGGCGCCCGGGCCTACTGGCGGAAGGGGAAGTCGGGGGCTGGCGGCGGTGGGGAAGATGGCGTACCAGAGCCTCCGGCTGGAGTACCTGCAGATCCCACCGGTCAGCCGCGCCTACACCACCGCCTGTGTGCTCACCACCGCTGCCGTGGTGAGCCCTTGCAAGGCTACTTTTTTATTCTCTGGGCTGAAAAAAAATAGCTGGGTCTTGAGGAAACTGGAGTTTGGCCTTGAGCAGGCCCGGAGGGGCTGGTCCCCGGGGTGGGTGGAGATATTACAACAGGGCTTATTCTGGGTTCTCCAGTGGCCTCAGCAGATGTGGTGATCCGTGAAGGGTCTGAAGGGTCTTGGAGAGAGAACAAACCCGGTCCAATAGCGGGACAGGGCTGCGGGCGCCGCCCACCCCAGAGCTGCTAGGGGATCCGGGTCGTGAAGCCACTGAGGTGTTGAGGAAAGTTGAGCCTTGTCGGGAGGGAAAGGTCTTCACCGAGAAGAAGGGCTGTGGCTCTGTAGGCTTGGCCAGAGGAGCAGTGGTTATCAGCATTGGTTATGGTAAGCAGATTGATTGCAACTCCTCCGAATTGTCCCGTCTTTGAAATGTCACCACCCATCTGCCTCCTACATGGGCCTCAACTGTTGCAACTTAATACCATTTTCTAAAGATCTTCATTTGGAAATTTCCTTTCTGTCCCCATTATCCATTTTGTTTGTTTAATTTTTTTTTATTCAAGAGACAGGTATTGCACCTGCTGAGGTCCTCCCCAGCCTCCCCCCAAACCGGCAGTAACAAACAAGGGCTGGACCAGGACCAGGACCAGGAACCTGAAACTGATTCTGGGTCCTCCCACATGGGCACGCAGGGTCCCTCACCCACCTGCTGCAAAACTGGAACCTGATGTAGCCACCAGAACTTACACTCAGACATTGTGATAACGGGCTCTCAGTTTCTCAAGTGACATCTGCTGTGCCACACCTCCCTGTCCCCACACTGTGCATTCTTTTTAATTCCATATTAGGTGTCAAAGACCAAAGAGTCAGTTCTAGGGACCTGAGAGGAAACAGTTAAAAGAAATTCAACCCAAGAGACCGAAAAAATTGGCATTGATTAATCCCTTTGTTGTGGAGGATGATGTTTTGTTCTTGATTGATTTAATTTAAGCAGCTCTTTTTCTATTGCAGCAGTTGGAACTGATCACACCTTTTCAGTTGTACTTCAATCCTGAGTTAATCTTTAAACATTTTCAAGTAAGTAGCCCATTGAAACTGGGGTGAATCTTCCTTTCTTCTGCTTATTGTATAATAGCAAATCCCACCAAATCCTGTCTCGGTCACGTACCAAACCATAGTCACCAAGGATTTGGGATGAAAGACCTGGTGGATTTTTTTTTCCCCATTTGATTGTTCATTTAAGATTTATTCATTTATTGGGGTGTCAGAGTTGGAGGACAAGAGAAGGATGTTCCATCCTCTAGTTCACTCCCTAGATGATGACCATGGGCAGGTCAAGGCCAGGAGAGTCTTCCAGGTCTTCCATGTGTGGGTGGCAGGGTGCCCAACTTCTTGAGCCATTTTCTGCTGCTATTCCCAGGCTGTTAGCAGGCAACTGGATTGGAAGTGAAGCAACTGGAACATGAACTGGTGCCCCTACGGGATGCCAGCATTGCAGGCAACAGCTGCAGGACCAGCCCCTTCTCCCCCAAACCTCTTTTATTTTAACCTTAAATTCTCTGCATGATTTTGCTGTGCCTAGTTCCCCTATTTCGGCATCACTGGTTGACAGTAGATGTTCATTGGCTGAGAGGTGTCTGCTTTCGGACAGTCTCACAGTCTGGCCTTCTTTGTCTGTTCACCCCTTTGGCACAACCACCCTCTGGATGTTGGCACAATAGTTCAGATCAGATACTGAATTCTGTTGGTGCTTTTCAACTGTTTTATTTTCCGTGAGTCAGATCAAATGAACAAAGGGCCAGTCTGTAAGAACACGTTGCTGCATTGTTAGGTTGCAGTGGGAAATTGTCTTTCCTGGTGGTTAAAAGGCTGAATAAGACTTGTATTTTCCTGCTGCAGGATGACGACAGAGGTCAGGGTTGGAGAGACCCAGGCAGCCATAATTCTGCCTGTCTATATGCTCTCCCCTCTGTCCCGAATGTATTCCCTTCCCTCCACCCATGTGTCTTACGACTTTGGAGTAGCCTTCTTTCATTGTTGGCATTAGAGCACTTGTCACTATTGCTCACAGTCATTTGTATGTGTGTCTGACCATGCACACAAAGACTGGAGAATCCTAGATGGCTCAATAGGTAGAACTGAGTTGTTGAAACTTTTCATTGTTACTCATTCTAGGAATTCAGAAATTGGTGAAGTTGTCCTGTGCTCCCATGTCCTGTGCTCCGTCTATCGGTGCCTGTGTGGCTTTCGCTAGGGGCTGTAGTTCTGTCCAGGCCTTGCCCACCACTGCCTGCTTGGCTTGACTTTGCCTGGGGCTGAGCTCTTGATTGCACTGTGCGTGTGGAGCTGGACGCTGTCTGAATTGGAGTTGAGAATCTCTCCATCTACCAGCTGCACGGCCTTGGGCAGGCCATTGTAATGTAACCCAAGTGCTGAGTTTTCCCATCAGGGAAATGGGGGGTAGAAATACCAGCCTGGTTATCTGACAGGATTTTGAGATCACAGCAGATAACTAGAGTAGGTTACAAAAACCCTTCAGTGTTCGACCATTGTGAATAGTTGTTGTGGGTGAGGAAGGACTTGACAGGATTTCCAACATGAAAATGCTTGGTCTTTCCTCTGGATGTTTCTGACTGCCTAAATGTGGAAACATTTCTTGGCAATTTATGTTAGATCCCTGAAGTTTTTCTCTGGGGTATTTCATCATACTACCAGGGTATTCATATTACAAAGATGGAAGCAGTTTTTCAGTGTTTTCAATTTTTCAAGTTAACCTAGTTTTCCCATCAAGCTTTTTTTCATAATTTGCCTCACCATATGGTCTAGAATATTTTTTTAGAAAAATTAAAATTTCAAATTTTCTATCTTATTATAAATTTGAAGATCCCGATGATGTCCTCCAGACGTCGAACTAGAGAAGCAGCCCCCAAAATCCAGTGTCAGATTGTGTGTCCAGAACAGACTGACTTGCTCCCATCTGTGGTCTTTGAGCCAACATAGCCATATGAAATATCTCTTTTGTCCTACTGTGAAAGTCTGTCTTGGTAGTATATTTTAATTAATCTGCTTTTCTCTTGATTTTGTTTTTTAAACAGATATGGCGGTTGATCACCAATTTCTTATTCTTTGGACCTGTTGGATTCAATTTTTTATTTAACATGATTTTTCTGTATCCTTTGTTAAAGTGTGTTTAACATTAGAACTGCAAGTTTATTTAGGGAGATACAATAGTCAGTTGAAACTGTATTAATCCTGTGATTGGTCCATCTAAGCTCTAATGTCTAGGTCAGTTTTCATAGAGTGATTGGTCAGATTGTAATGTGGGAAAGGTGTCTAGTCCAGCTGTTCTAACAGGAATTTTAACCATAAGATAAGAAAATGTCATTTCTGTCCTCAGATTGCTCACTTGTCTGACCAAGGGAGGGAGAAAGCAGGAATACTTAAAAAATAACAAGCAAAACTGGAATCTTTGTCACTGGTTCCACTGGTTAAAAAGAGTGCTATAATGTCAGCCGGGGGTTCCCTTTTGTTGAAACAAAGAGCCACACTAGTTACCAAGTTCTTAAGGCCCTGAAGAAAAACCCTTCCTTTTCTAGGTGTGGTCCCTACCCTCCCTCACCCCTGCCTTGGTTAAGGACGGAGTTAGAGCCTCAGCTCCCCTGCAGAGAACAGAGGGCGTGTGTGAAGAGTTTCCTGTGTGGCCTCCCTGTAAGCTTGTCCCTTGTAGCGCATCTTTATGGACCAGAATTTAGGTTAATTCTTGTTCAGGGTTTCTTCCATGTCAGGTGGTGGGGAAGCAAGGAGGGTAACCAGGGACAAGACAGTAAAGCTTGAAAATGGTTGGAACAGTAATCCCATCACCAGAAGTCTCTCATAGTCATGAAGGCTTATCTTCTTACAGCTAATGTGGAGTCTAGCTGAACTTAACGTTGTACATTTTATTTTCTTCATGTTTGTGTGCCTGACATTTTCTTAACTGGGAACTGAAGATATCGTTACTGTCGAATGCTAGAAGAAGGCTCATTCCGAGGCCGGACAGCAGACTTTGTATTTATGTTCCTTTTTGGTGGATTCTTAATGACTGTATCCTTCAACAAGTAGAACAGACACGGCCAACATTCCAGAACATCCTGTGTCTTCTTAAAGCTACTTGTCTTGTTTCCCGTGGTCCAGTAGATCTTTGGAACAAGCAGATGAAAGTAGCAGATTTTAGCTTTAGGGCACCACCGTTTTTTATCTAACAGCCCAGGCTTTCTGGGACAGCTTTCCAGGCCGGAGGTTGAACAACAGGCTGCCTCTGTCCCGTGAGCAAGACAGAGGAACGCTTAGCCCAGGTGGGTTCCTGTAACTGAAGAGTCTCACGGTAGAATATGTTTCTTTTGGCTTCTAAACCCCATTGTTAAAACATTGTGTCTTTATAAGAACCAATGAATTGTTAGTGTCATTTTTTAAAATCTTTGATCTGTTTAACAGACCTGAATGTAGTCCTGACAAGATGCTTTTGTTTCTTTTGCCTTCATTCACCTACCAAGGTGAGTGAGCTTCAGTGTAATTACTGACCAAAAAATTAGTACATTCCTCCAAGGAAGCAAGAGCTTCAGCCAGGCACAATGGGAATCCGGATTCATCACAAATCCAGACTCTTTTAACCTGAGCAGGTTGTTGCATGCCGGCTCAGGGTAATTCTTTCCAGGCTCTTCTTGTCCTTTTCTATGGATGTAACTACCTGGCTTTTTCAGCTCACACTTGCCTTAGAACACAGGCTGTCGTGCTCTCGCTCCGTCTTCCCCGCTGTGCCATTGTGAATGTTGGCATTTTCCTTAATGCTGCCCGTTAGCTGTTTGGTTTATTTGTGAGCTTGGTTTTCCTGGGCCAGGCCTTCACGATCATGCTGGTGTACGTGTGGAGCCGAAGGAACCCGTACGTCCGCATGAACTTCTTCGGCCTTCTCAATTTCCAGGCCCCCTTCCTGCCCTGGGTGCTCATGGGCTTTTCCTTGTTGCTGGGGAACTCGATCATCGTGGACCTCTTGGGTAAGCATCCCATCCGAATTTCTGTCGTTTTTAACCTATACATTTATCTCATCACTGTTTTTTTTTTTTCCAAATTTATTCTGTCTGCCCTCATGCGCAGACATGATAAGGATTATTTTATAGTTGCAGTCACTGGCTCATGCATCTTAAAATTGCCCTGACCTTTGTTCTAAGCATGAGCAGTTTTTATCGGTGGGTCCACATACAATCGAAATTTTAATCCTCTCCCTCAATTTCCCTTTGTAGGTATTGCGGTTGGACACATATATTTCTTCTTGGAAGATGTCTTTCCCAATCAACCCGGTGGAATAAGAATCCTGAAAACACCATCTATCCTGTGAGTATTGCACATGAGGTTACATGTCCCTTGCAGAGCAGCCAGGACAGGGCCTGTATGATCTGCGTCTTCCCGGGGCTCAGCCCCCGGTACACAGGTCAGTGACTGCACATTGAGCAATCCACTGCGCCTGTGAGCCGATTGCCCCGGGACAGGAACAGAAACCATGAGCGCCAGGGCTGTCTGCAAGAGCAAGGTCAGCCAGCTCTAAATGTCACGGAGATCATCGTGCTGGAGAGGAAAGTGCTGGTTTTAGGAAAGCCACCCCTCAAAAGGCAAGGTGGCAAAATGGACACATGGAAGGTTCCCATGGGGGAACTTCTGGCCTGTCTGCCGCTGGTGGAGACAGTCTGGGAAGCAGAGCAGGAGTGGCTTTGTCTGCTGAGCAGCCTTGTGGCTCTAGGCCATGCCCTTCTGCTTGGTTCACTTCAGTTTGCTTTGGGGGAAGCTTTGGTCCTCAGGACCTCTTTCTACTCCAAGGTTTTACATCCTTAGGAAACAGTAGCTCATGTGGAGTAGAGGAGAGGGGGAGCAGTTACAGAGTGTATGTTGGAGAATGAAAAAGTAAAAATCAATCAGTAATCCCACTACCCATGCCTTACTGTGAGTATTTTTGATGTATATTCTTTTAATTTTTACTGTCTGTTCATCTGGAAAATGTTACATCATGACCTTCTCAAAGTCAATATGTCAGAACCATCTTTACACCAAAAGTGTCGTACATTCATAGAAGTGCAGCCATTCATAGAATATCAGTGTGGCATCATTTTACCAGTTCCTTACAGGTGGGTGTGGACATTGGACGTTGCCTTTTCCTTGTGTAGTTGGAGCGGTGACTATTACTGCAGTAATCAGTAACTTGATGATGAGTTCCCAAAAATCCATTCCTGGAAGTGGAATTGGGATTTTGTCTATGGCCAGATGCCTTCTGGGATGGATGTTTAGGTTCATGTAGCAGGGTGTTCCCTCACCCACACCTCATCAAACAAGGCAGGCTTTGTATTTACCCTATCCTAGTTTGATAGGTACAAGACTATGTCTCTATGTTTTGTTTTGGGTTTTTTTTTCTGACTTTTGAAAGCATTTTCAAATTTAAAGTTACCAGTAAGATATGATGGACTTTTTCTCCCTCGGGTATTTGAAAGCAATTTGTCAACCTAATGTCTATAATCTTTCATCACATTCTTTTTAAGGTTGTAGTTATTTGAAAGGCAGAGTTGGAGATCTTCCATCAACTGCTTTACTCCCCCAGTGGCTTCAAGGGCCTACACTGAGCCAGACATAAGCCAGGAGCCAAGAACTTCATTTACGTCTCTCACGTGCGTGCAGGGACCTAAGGATTTAAACCATCCTCCACTGCTTTCCCTGGCACGCTATTTTTTTGTTTTTAAAGATTTATTTATGTTATTGGAAAAGCAGATTTAACAAAGATCTTCCATCCACTAGTTCACTCGCTGAGTGACCGCAATGACCACAGCTGAGCCAATCCAAAGCCAGGAGCTTCCTGGGGGTCTCCCACCCAGGTGTAGGGTCCCAAGGCTTTGGGCCATCCTCTGCTGCTTTGCCAGGCCACTAACAGGGAGCTGGATGGGAAGTGGAGCAGCTGGGACACGAATCAACACCCACATGGGATCCCAGTGCATGCAAGACACTAGGTTGCTGTGTCAGGCCGTCCTGGGCACATTTTAATAGGGGTTTGGGTTAGAATGAAGTAACTGACACTAGAGCCCACACCTGTATGGAATGCCAGCATTGCAAGTGATAGCTTAAGCTGTCACAATGCCAATCACAACACTGGTTTTTGTTGTTTGTTTAACTTTTTTGGTTTTGGGGGGGGTGGTTATTTTGTTTGTTTGAAGGCTAAATTAGGAGAGAGATCTTCCATCCAACTCCCAAAATTGTCCCAACAGTGTGTATGCCAGTCTTCTCAGCTGAAAAGTCATTCTTGTTCTTTGTTCTTTTTGTAATTAAGTGTTTTGTGAGGAGGTAATTTGAGACTATGTAAAAATCCCTTTCCTTCTCAGTTTTCAAATGACTGAGATTTGCTGGAATTCATAATTTTATATTTTTTACTTATGGCTTATATCTCTTGCTATTGTTTATTTTGGTTATTGTCTCTTGATTCTCATATTATCCCAGATTTGGCCCGGGGAGCCACATCAGACTGTCACTTGTCCCCACCATTTTTGTTTGTTTATCTGTTTGTCATTATTTATTTTAAAATATTTTAATTATTTGGGAAACAATGGAAAAACAGATTTCCCATCTCCTGTTTCATTGTTCTTGGTCAGGTCAAAGTTAAGAACTGGGGACTCAATTTTTCCTCTCTGTCTCTCCTCCTCTCTATATATATCTGACTTTGTTTGCAATAAAAAATAAATGAATCTTTTTTTTTTTTTTTTTAAGATTTATTTTTATTATTTTTTTTATTGGAAAGGCGGATATACAGAGAGGAGATACAGAGAGGAAGATCTTCCATCCGATGATTCACTCCCCAAGTGAGCCGCAACGGGTCGATACTATGCCGATCCGAAGCCAGGAGCCTCTTCCGGGTCTCCCACGCGGGTGCAGGGTCCCAAAGCTTTGGGCTGTCCTCAACTGCTTTCCCAGGCCACAGGCAGGGAGCTGGAAGGGAAGCGGGGCTGCCGGGATTAGAACCGGCGCCCATATGGGATCCTGGGCGTGCAAGGCGAGGACTTAACCACTTGCGCCACCGCGCCGGGCCCAAATGAATCTTTTTTAAAAAGTATTTTCATACATATTTCTAATTTTGGCAGCAATTAAAAATCCATGAGTGCAAGTAGAGGATACTGTTTGATGGACTGTTCTTTAACGAGATTATATTAAAAGTCTTAAATATTTACTATCCGGTCCTTTCTTCTTTTAAAGGTTTATTTATGAAAGGCAGTGTGAGAGAGAGATATGGAGATGCCAATCTCGCATCTGCTGGTTGACTCCCCCAAATGGCTGCTGTGGCCAGAGCTGGTCCAAGCTGAAGCCAGGAGCCTGGACCTCCGTCTGGGTCTCCCACATGGATGGTAGAGGTGCTAAGCAGCTTGGCCATCGTCCACTGCTTTCCCAGGTGCACCAGCAGCAGACTGGATCAGAAACAAAGCAACTAGGACTTAACCAGGCACTGTGGTATGAGAGGCTAGCATCACAGGTGTCCGTTTAATCTACTCTTAAGATTTATTTATTTTTATTGCATAGTCAGGTATACAGAGAGGAGGAGAGACAGAGAGGAAGATCTTCCGTCCAACGATTTACTACCCTAATGACCACAATGGCAGGTGCTGCGCCTATCCTAAGCCAGGAGCCAGGAACTTCTTCCAGGTCTCCCACGCGGGTGCAGGGTGCCAAGGCTTTGGGCCGTCCTTGACTGCTTTCCCAGGCCACAAGCAGGGAGCTGGATGGGAAGTGGAGCTGCCGGGATTAGAACCGGTGCTCATATGGGATCTCAGTGTGTCCAAGGCGAGGACTTTAGCCACTAGGCCATTGCACTGGGCCCCATCTTAACCAGTTTTAAATGTATATGCCAAGGGCATTAATTGCATTCCTATTGCCATGACTACCATTCATAGCACCTTTTTTTTTTAAGATTTATTCATTTTTATTGAAAAGACATTTACAGAAGGTAGGAGAAACAGAAAGATCTTTCATCTGCTGGTTCACTCCTCATGTGGCAGCAATGGCTGGCACTGAGCTGATCGGAAACCAGAAGTCAGGAGCGTATACTTGGTATCTCATGCATGTACATCCTCTATTGCTTTCCTAGGCCACAGGCAGGGAGCTGTAAGGGAAGTTGAGCAGCTAGAGTACAAATTGGTACCCATGTGGGATCCTGGCGCATGCAAGGTGAAGACTTTAGTGACTAGGCTGTTACGTTGGGCCCCTTTGAGCCCTTTATAATCTTGCAAAACTGAAACCCTGTACCTACTATACAATCTCCCACTTCTGCTTCTCCCAAGTCCCTGGAAACATCTCTCTACTTTGTGTCTCTGTGAGTTTAACTGCCTTAGGTCCTTCCTGTAAGTGTGGAATCATGCAGTGTTAGAGACTTGCTTGTTTCCCTTGGCATAGAATTCTTCCGAGCTGTAGTATGTGTAAAATTTCCCCCTCTGATAAGTCTGAATATTATATGTGTGTGTATCATGTGGTGTGTATCCACCTGCTGATGGACACTTGGGTTGACCGGTCATTTCTGGAGACATTGATGATGAGCGCCACGAGAGCTGGGGTCCAAGGCAGGAGCGGTGTGATCGAGCTTTTGCAGAATTTTAGTTGTTTATCCTCGAGTAATTAAAACAATGGCAGTTAACCTCTGGAGGCTTAGGTTATGCTGCTCAGATTCACGTACCCTTTCTTGTCGATGATTAATGTGCATTGCTTTTGGAACAGAAGTTAGTAGAAAAGATCAGGGTTACTGTGAGATGTTGCATAATAAGTCATAACTCTTGAGTGGCTGGCAGATGGAATCAATGCCTATCCACGGCTGGCAGCCCCCGGGACTCTGCCGTCCCCCCGAGACCTGAGATGGCTCTGGACTAAATGGCGTCTGTCACCTGTCTTGTAGGAAGGCTATTTTTGATACGCCAGATGAGGATCCCAATTACAACCCACTACCTGAAGAGCGGCCAGGAGGCTTCGCCTGGGGCGAGGGGCAGCGCCTGGGAGGTTAACACTGCCAGGCGGGAGACGGCCGGGGAGGACTCAGAGAACCACCCCCAGGGATTCTTCTATCCTGCCTTGCGGAAGTGTGGACACTTTGGAAAGCTTTGGCAGATTTTTAACTCCAGAAGCACTTTATGAAATGGTACATGGACTAATAAAGAAGACGTTTCCAGCAGGTTGCCAGTGGTTCCTCACTACACTGGTACTGAAAGTGTAATCTCTTGGAGCCAAAAAAAAAAAACAAAAAACAAAAAAACCAACTGGAGAAACAAACAACCCTGCGGCCCCAGCCGAGTACACGAGGACCCGAGTTCTGTGGCATCGGGCAGGGCTTTGCCTCCTCTTCCTCTCTGACAGACGAGGCCACGGTGTACGTGGAAGGTTTCAGAGAGGATGAAATAAAACCGAATTCCATCTCTCACTGTATCCAAGCTTTTGTGTGTGATCTCTTAAGTCATGGTCACGTGTCCTAACTCTCCCACGCAGATCAGACCCATGGACAGTTCCCTCGTCCGTTCCTCCACCCACACCCCTACCCCATCCCCATGTCTTCACAGCCCTCAACCGGGATTCCATACCAGGATTGGAAAGCAGCATGGCTGTTAATGCCGCGGATGTACGTGTCCGTCCTCACGCAGAATGCTAACCTGAATAGAAGAAGATGGGCTCCCGTCACCCAAATGGCCTTCTGTAGAACTTCACGGTGTTCAATGACGAGGGGGGAGTGTGTGGGGAAGAGGAGGGGAGAGCCCCCCCTGGGCTCATGCCTCTCCATTAGGGCCGACTGCTGGTGGGCACACATCTGGGGGCTGGGCAGGAGCACACGACCACAGCATGGACAGGTACCAGCTGGGCAGGTGTTGGCATCCCGCCTGCCTCTTGGGTTTAACCCTTGTCATTTATTTTGTCTCGTGAAAACCATGAGAGGCTTTTCGGAGCCTAGGGCCAGGTTAACCTTCGCGATCAGGCGGGAATTGCACGGGGTCCACAGGCAGAAGCAACTGCTTTGACTCCCTGTGGGTCGGTCGGCACCTGTCCAAAAGGCGGGGTCTCAACAGGTTTTCACGCAACGGCGCCGCTTAAGCAGTTCAGAAGAGTAAACAAATGGAAGACTGCACCTACTCCTCGCTGTCAGCGGCACGTAGGCTCCGGACCTTCTCCCGAAACTGGCTTTGCAACGGTTGCTTCTCGGGGAAGGAGCAGCTTTCCCAAATATGACATTGAGAAAGAGCAACCTAGGTCTAGACTGAGCTCACTGGCCATCCTAAATGGGAATGTTCGGATTGTTTTTCAAAACGAGGGATTTTTAATGTCTTTAAATCTCATTGTGATTTGCTTAAGTGATGGAGGTTAATTCGAGCATTTTGCATGTTCTGGTGGGTAACTCACATAATTGCAATTTTATGGGAATGAGTCAGTACTTTTTTTCTTAAAGTGGATTCAATTTTTTTTAAGTTTAAATGCCATTTTTAGAATGTATGATCCTTATGGGATTCTTTTTTTTAATAAAGTAAATATTTATTTTATTTGTTTTTTTATACAATTTGGTCAGCAGTGGGCTCTCCCCTCCCCCTCCCCCTTTTTTGGGATTCTTAAGTTTAATCCTGTCTTTGTTCAAGAAAGTCTTATCCTTGAAATTTTAGTTAAAAAATTTTTGTTTGTGGTTATTTATCTGTAAATAGATTTCCTTATCTTTATTTGTTCTCTCTGAGTTAACTCTTGAGTTTATCCAACAAATGGAATTTCTGTGGTAAAATTTTAATCCTAAAATCTATTCACTGTTTAAGCGGGGCTTATCTGTAAATACATCCTTTACTGCGTGAGAACAGGGAATTACACTTGGCAAGGGAGTTTTGGTTTCTCGGGTTGTAGAGCACGTGTGCCGCACTGTACTACAGCACTGTGTCCTAGGCAATCTCTGACCTCTTCCCAGTTTGCCCAGTCCCAGCCCGCGCCAGGCCTGTGTTATGTGACTGGGCTCCTGTGTTCCCCTGGACGCAAGGACAAGCCCTTGGCATCCCCAGCTTGCCTCCGGAGTCTTCCGGAACACGCTTCATTCTCTTGATGTCAATCAACTGAAAAAGGCAGAATCTGATGGACAAAACTGTGACCAAGGGACCTTACGCATTGGAGAAGTACCGGATTCTGCCGGTAATTCTGGAAAAGCACACCTGACTGAGGCAGGAGTTTATCTGTTGTTGTTGTTCTTTGAGAACCATATGTTCATGGGAAAATAAATGGATGTGCACATTGCATCTCGGTGGGAGATAAACTTCCCTAGACATTCTGTTGTGATTTCCACCTGGGTTTCTGTTGGTTCCTTTCTTCCAGCTGTTCTTTTTTCCTGTGTCCCTCGGCGGATACCCTACTACCATTAATACCTGTTGTGCAGCCCAAGTGCTGGATCTCGGCGATGAAACCATCACTGTGTCTCTTGGCTCGTGGCACCTGCCGTGCCGGCACACGGGGTGCCCTGGAACCATGTCCCACGGCGTGGCGGTGCTCTCCGGCGGATGAGCTCTGTCCGTGTGGTTGGTCCAGATCCCTCCACTCTCCAGTGTCCCGCAGGATGTCCTGAGACCACTTCCATAGTATTTTTATGAGTTTGCTTAAAAGTTAATTGAGCCTTTTTTCTTTCTTTCTTTCTTTCTTTTTTTTTTTTTTTGACTGAATCACTTCCAAGTTCAGCAATCCACATGAACTTCTTAGCAAGCCCTGGGTCCGCTGTGTGCTTTCGATCCTCTCTGGACCTTATTTCCACTTCTGCTTCACAGAGGCTTCAATTTAAGACTTTTTTTTTTTTTTGAGGGAGGGTCGTCAAGGCTGAATCTTGCTTTTATGACTCTTCAAGGATTCTTGACTCCAAGGCCTATCCCATTGTCTGTCTTTAAACCCCTTTTATGTTCTGAATCTGTTCTTACACCAAATTCTCTACTGTGTACATTTCCCAGCTGGCACGTGTCTCAGTCTCATCTCCCTCAAGAGAATGTAAGCTCCTGAAGGGCAGGGACCACGTCTTAATTTTTGTACCCACCATGGTGCCTGGCACAGGGCTTGGCACATGGGTGCTGAATAAACACTTTGTTTTATTAAGTAGCAACGCTATTACCTGGTATTTTTACTTATACTGAGGTCTTCAATGTGTGTGTGAGCAAGCTTGGTGCCTGGTCCACAAGCCTGACCACTGACGTGAAGTAGAACACGGCAAGGCAACACGATCCAGAAATGACTCGGTGAGACGAGCCAAGGTGTGCCCACCAGCTGGGACCATCCAAGGGCCACATCAGACACAGCGTCTGACACAACACCACCTCCTGGTTTCAGCTTTCGGGGATGTGAAAGCTGTGGAGCCGAGAGAGGACCATAGATGTCAGGCCACTGGCGATGGGAAATGTAGGCAAGTCAGCTCAGTGCTGACATACGGAAGGTCGAGTCTGTCGACCTTGCCCTGCTTCGCTTTGAGCCTTGAGTACGGCTTAGCTGTGTCATTAGGGCCAGGGATGATGGGTGAGTTTCCTGCAAGGTGGATTTTGTTTTCTCTGCTTAAAAAAAAAAAAAATGTTTTCTAGTATTTACAGTAGACAAATGTCACATAGAGTCTTTCCCTACTGGCTCTTCTTGAACTATCTGGGCATATCAGGTGGTCACAGATATGCGAGACAGCTGCTGCCCGTCTACGACTGGTGGCTGGTTCTAGACACAGTAAGGGCTCTACAGAGATGCCTACAGCCACCAGAAAGCCGGCCCCCCACTCCAGGTCACCCCCAAGAGCACGCATGGGCCAAGGGCTAAGACCTGACTTCTAGCATGTTTCCCTAAATTAGGGTGAACTCTGGCTTTCCCCTGTAGCTTCGGACTGCTCTTCTAAACTAATAACTTGCTCAGAAGTGCTTTTTCATTTTATCTTAGAGGCAGACAAAGATGGCCCCTGCTGCAGCTCCCCTTACGAGTACAACAGCCAGGACTGAAGGCTAGACCCGAGGGACCAGCTGCTGTCTCACAGGGTGCCCATGAGCAGAATAGCTGGGCCGCAGACTGGGCACTCTGATAGGGATGTCGTGTCCCACAAGGTATCCTGGCAGCACTAGCTACCGGCCCAGGACGCAAAAGTGTGTCAACTCATTATTTATTTATTTATTTATTTATTTTTATTGGGAAGGCAGCTATACAGAGAGGAGGAGAGACAGAGAGGAAGATCTTCCATCCAATGATTCACTCCCCAACGGCTGGAATTGTGCCAATCCAAAGTCAGGAACCCAGAGCCTCCTCCAGGTCTCCCATGAGGGTGCAGGGTCTCAAGGCTTTGGTCCATCCTCGACTGCTTTCCCAGGCCACAAGCAGGGAGCTGGATGGGAAGTGGAGTTGCCAGGATTAGAACCGGCGCCCATATGGGATCCCGGCGCATTCAAGGCGAGGACTTTTGCCAGTAGGCCACCGCTCCAGGCGCCAAGTGTGTCAACTCTTACATCTATGTGTCTTCTATGTGCTTAACACACATTTTCAGGAATTCCAGTTTATCAGACTCTCTGCTCCTGCAGGAACAGGAAGGAGGACTTTTTAACAGGTTTACTTTCCAAGAGTGGATTTCCTGGGAATGAATTTTTGGAAGATATACCCTCATTGCAGTGTGATATCTGGACATTGCATTTCCCATGTGCAGAGGAAACAGCCTTAATGGTGAAATAGATCAATTGAAAGCTCTAATTTAGGGGAGAAAAAAAAACTACAGTGTTCTATTTTTCCCCTCAAATCTTGCCATTATTTTCAGTGTGTCACAGAATGCCTGTAAGCCACTTATCGTAATGGCTTTTAAAAATTTATTTATTGTTATTAGAAAGTCAGATATACGGAGAGAAGGAAGTAAGGAGATACAGAAAGGAAGATCTTCCTCGCACTGATTCACTCCCCAAGTGGCTGCAACCACCAGAGCTGAGGTGCTCTGAAACCAGGAACCAGAAGCTTCTTCCTGGTCTCCCTTGCAGGTACAGATCCCAAGGCTTTGGGTTGTCCTTGACTGCTTTTCCAGGCCACAAGCAAGGAGTTGGATGGGAAGCAGCTGGGATATGAACCGGCACTCATATTGGATCCTGGTGCACGCAAGGCAAGGATTTAGCCACTAGGCTACCACACCAGGCACTGTTAATTTCTTTTGAGTTTGTATTCAAGCTGTTGAGTGTTTAGAATGGAGCTGGAGAATCAAGAACTTCAGTCTGGCAGGAATGGTTGGGGAAAAGGAAGGGTAAAAGTTCATCAGATTCCCTCTTTGCCTGCCTGTGTTACCAGAGCAAAGCTGCATCTATTTGGATGATCACATTCCGGGGGAAATACAGCTTCTCAGGAATCCAAGACCATAGCCTGGCCCATTGTTGGCTATTCTCACATTCCGGAGTCACCAAAGAAATGCAAGCTATTTTATCCCATGCTCTGCCTTTCAAGACATTTTTATTTGTTTGAAAGGCAGTTAGAGGGAAGGAGAAACAGAGATGTTGTATCTGCTGGTTAACTCCGCAGATGCCCACAACAGCCAGAGCTGGGCTGATCGGAAGCCCAGAGCCTCTCCAGTCTCCCATGTGTGTTCAGGGACTCAAGCACTTGAGCCATCCTCTGCTGCTTTCCCAGGCCATCAGCAGGGAGCTGGATGGGAAAATGGAGCAGCGAGGACTTGAACCAGCGTTGACGTCAGATATCGACCATGCAGGGAGCAGCCTTCTCAAATATATAAGTATGTATATGTTAAAGTCATATCCATCTTACTAGCAGCGCAGCTGAAAGACCAGCAGCAGATGACCCAAAAGCTGGGATTGCTATGCCACCAAAATAAATACAATTAAAAAAAATTGTTAAATTTGCTTTCCTTTTCTGTACCACAAGAGGGTCACTATTCTTTTCAAAATTAAGGTCTTGTGACATCTGTATTGGCTTAAACTCAGGGTCTTCATCTGAAAATTTGGAATTACAGCATCGACGTTTAACCCCTACATTGAAGGGTTAGATGATGCAAATACTTGCGTTCTTCGTTGATTTTTACAGAATTAAATGCTTTTCCTGAAGAGAATCGTGGACAAAGAGGGAAAACGCGTTTTCATTGGAAACATTTAGTGTTTATATAAAAACAGTCAAGCGAAAAACTAAGGTCCCGCGGAATCGTATAATCGCCTTCTCTGTTGTTGCCCCGGACCTATTTGCGGTTGTTCCTCAGTGCTCGGGGGTTCCCCGGAAGTGAGATCTTTCCTAAACAGACATGCACACATGCATGCCGGGAGTTGTAGTCCAGTCCTAAGGACGAGCGGCGGCTGTGAGGTCATCGCTGGGCGCCGGAAGCCTCCAGCACGTGGCGCCGAAGGGGCGGTGCTCGCGGGGACATGCCTGAGGAGGCGGGCTGCCCGCCGGCCAAGCGGTTCCGTCCGGGGCCTCCGAGCCGGGCCGCACTGATGCTGCCGTCGGCGGGCGGCAAAAGCGGCGGCGGCGGAGGAGGAGGCCGGCGTCCTCCGCCCCTGGCTCAGCCCTCCGCCAGCCCGTACCGGGAGGCGGTGCAGCTGCAGCGCCGCAGCCTACCCATCTTCCGGGCGCGGGGACAGCTGTTGGCCCAGCTGCGGAACCTGGACAGCGCCGTCCTCATCGGTGAGACCGCCGGGCCTCTCGCTTGGCCTTAACTCGCTTCGTCCACAAGCTTACAAAACGCCTGATCTGAGCCAGGCCGGGAGAGGCGTCCTGGAGACCCTTCCCGGGGTGTGCAGGGGACTTGGGGAGCTCGGAAGATGGATCCGACCCGGGAGGTGGCCGCCGTCTGCGGACAGCACTGTGCGCGGTGACACAGCAGTTGCTGTTGCTTCAAAAGGCTGTGCTCTCCTGGGTTTAAATGAGGGGAGCCGCTGCAGCCTGCCTTGGAGCAAAGGGGAGAGCCTCCTCCACCTCGTGGGCTCTTCCCAGCGAGAGCCCTCCGGGAACTCCCTCAGTGGGAGTGGGGCAGGACGTAGACAGGGCCCCTGATGTTCCCAGGAACACAGTGGGTGGACGGTGGTGTCCCTAAGCGAGTCTCCACCGTCGGGATATGATGCTTGAGCAGTGCCTGGCTGTCACCAAGGGAGACAGAGCAGCTGATCCCGTTTGGGGTTTTGCAGGTAGATGGCAAGCGGATGGACTCCTCTCCTTCCTGGTGGAGTCAGGGGAACCGAGCATGCTGAGAGCATGCTGAGTGCGAGAGAACCGGGGGACCATGGTCTTGGGGGCCTCTGAGGGCAGGGGCAGAGCCAGGGAGGGGAGCCATTCACAGGTTGATGGAGTTTTCTGTGCTAATAAGGCACCACTAAAGGAAGCCCTGGAGGCTTGTGAGTGATCATAATTGGGTGCTTACTGTATGCAAATACTCAAATTCATGGGAAAGACACACCATGCTGTCTGCCTTTTCCACACCCACCAGCCAGCCAGCCAGCCCTGTGCCGCAGAGGGAGAAACATGCAAATCCTGGTGTGTGATGGACAGAGGTCTGTGCTACAAGAGACATGAACAGGGCAGCTGAGAGTCCCGAGGGGCCACTTGGCACAGGCCCAGAGGAGGCCGTTGGAGGCCCAACTCATCCTGAATTAGCGAGGAAGCTGGCAGCATGGGGTGGACCAAGAGTTGAGAGCAGAGGGCAAGGAGTGCGCTGCCTGGCAGGAGCACCGGTCTGGGCAGCAGCTGCTCCTTGTCTTTTAGTTTGTCCTCTGCCAGTTCACCTGCAGTTGAGCATGTGGAGTGTTCTCGGTTTTACTTGTGGATCAAAGAGATGAGCTTTTTGGTAGCACAGACTAATCCCTCACCCTGCGGCGCCAGCAACCCATGTAAGTGGCTGGTTCAAGTCCAACTGTTCCACTTCCCATCTAGCTCCCTGCTTGTGGCCTGGGAAAGCAGTGGAGAATGGCCCAAGTCCTTCGACCCTGCACATCTGTGGGAAACCTGGAAGGGGCTCCAGACTCCTGGCTTCAGACTGACCCATTTTTGGCTGTTGCAGCCATTTGGCGAGTGAAATAGTGGATGGAAGATTGCTGTCTCTCTCTATGTATAACTCTGATTTTCCAAATAAAATAAGTAACTTTTTAAAAAGTTTAAGTATAATTTTTAAAACATTTGTTTTTATTGGAAAGACAGATATACAGAGAGAAAGATCTTCCATGTGCTAATTCACTCCCCAAGTGGCCACAATGGCCAGAGCTGAGCTGATCTGAAGCCAGGAGCTAGGAATCTCTTCTGGGTCTCCCACTTGGGTGCAGAGTCCCAGGGCTTTGGGCCATCCTCAACCGTTTCCCCAGATCACAGGTAGGGAGCTGGATGGGAAGTGGAGCAGCTGGGACACAAACTGGAAGTCATATGGGATCCCAGCTTGTGCAAGGCAAGGCTTTAGCCACTATGCTATCACGCTAGGCCCTATAATTTGGTTTTCTAAAAATCAACACCTTTTTTTTTTTTTAATGTTTCTTACTTTTTCAGAAGGTGGAGCAAGATAGAGATCTTCCATTCCCTGGTTCCCTCCCTAATACCTACAGTATTCAGGGCTGAGACATACCTGTTCAGGGTCCCCCACATGGAACCCAAAGATGTGGCCTTCATCTGTTGTATGGGAAGCGGCTTCAGCTGGGGCTCGAGCTCGTGCTGCCCGCAGGATGGGGGAATCCGTGAGGCAGCGTGGTCCCCGTCCCATCATGCCTAGCCTGGCGGTGTCACCATGCGTGCCCTGGTCACTTGACTTGTAACTGAGGCTTTGTGTTTATCTTTCCCAGGGGAGACAGGCTCCGGGAAGACGACTCAGCTTCCCCAGTACCTGTACGAAGGGGGGATAGGCCGCCAAGGCGTGATTGCCGTGACCCAGCCCCGCCGAGTGGCTGCCATCTCTCTCGCCACCAGAGTCTCAGACGAGAAGAGAACTGACCTCGGGAAGCTGGTACCTGCTTGCATTCTTGCCCCCTCTCCACCCTGGGCGGTTCTTGCGCAGTTCTGTCTCACCGGCCAGTTTCTGACTGAAGTTTCCTCAAACTTTCTTGGCGTGAAGGGCTCCTGCCAGAAGTCTGTCCCAGCATCTCAGGGGGTAGTGGCCCTCCTGGCGGCCAGTTCTGCTGGCCTTGCTTGCAGAGCCTGGTGTCAGGTGGCTAAGGACTTGGGAGCTTCTGTTAGCTTCACTTGGCTCTCCTAGTGCATATGCTGGCACTGGGGATACTTTTCACACGGATGACATGTGTCATACCGGGAACTGTATGTGCACATCCCGCTTCAAAGCAGCTCGGTGGCCTTTCATGTCCGAATCGCATCAGATGATGCTGTTGAGCAGCTGGAGACAGAAGGGCAGTTTTAAATTCTTGATCAGGCTTTTCTGAGCTGCAGTTAAAGGGATGTGCCCAGTGGCCGGTGGGCAGTCTGTGTGGGTCTGCCCTGGGAGTACACGGTGACAGCGAGTGCGTGCCTTGCTTCACACAGGTTGGCTACACTGTGCGCTTTGAGGATGTCACCTCGGAAGACACCAGGATCAAGTTCCTGACGGATGGCATGCTCCTGCGGGAGGCCATCTCCGATTCCTTGCTTAGGAAGTACAGCTGCGTGATCCTGGATGAGGCCCACGAGCGGACCATCCACACAGACGTGCTCTTCGGTGTGGTGAAAACCGCCCAGAGGCGGCGGAAGGAGCTGGGGAAACTGCCCCTCAAAGTACGTGTGGGGCACACGCAGGGGGACTGTGCGTCTTGCTCTACCCTCCACTTCAGCTCCCTGGGAGACACCTGACTGTGAGATGGGGGTCCCAACCCCATGGGGCTGCCCGGTGTGTGTTCTGTCGTGCAGGTCATTGTGATGTCCGCCACCATGGACGTGGACCTGTTCTCCCAGTATTTCAATGGCGCACCTGTCCTCTACCTAGAGGGTCGGCAGCACCCGATCCAGGTGTACTACACCAAGCAGCCTCAGCAGGACTACCTGCACGCCGCTCTCGTCTCCGTCTTCCAGATCCACCAGGTGTGTGTGCTGGGCAGAGCCCTGGCAAGCTCTGAGCCGCAGCGTCAGGAGGAGTACGGAGTTGCCTGGTCCAGGATTTGTTTTAGTTATACTTAATCGCTTGAAAGCGGAGCTGCAGAAAAAGAGGAAGAGACAGAGACTGCCTGCTGCTTGCCGCCCCGCAAGTGCCCACAACCTGCAGGGCTGGACCAGGCTGTCGTTGGGGGCCAGGAACTCCTGCCAGGGCTCCCAGGTGGGTGGCAAGGACCCAAGCACTGGAGTCGCCACCTGCTGCCTTCCCCGCTGTGTTGGCAGGGAGCTGCGTTGGCGGGGAAGGAGCCAGGCTGGACTGCTCAGGGGCGCAGGCGTTCCGAGGTGGCTGCGGCCTTGCCCGCCCCCACATCCGGGGCTTTATAGGTGTTTACGCTGCCTTTTGTTTTCTGGTGATCTGGCTCGCCAGCATGTTTCCTCCACTGTGCTAGGGAACTTCCTGTGTTGGCTTACATACTGTTTTGGGCATAACCTCCAGGAAGTACAGATTATATTAAAGCCCAATGTGTGACATCCATAGCTGAAGTAATGCTATAAAATATTGCCTCTTTAATTAATAGGATGTATTCTGATTTTTCCACTTCATTGGGGAGAAAACAAAGCAGGTATTGACCCAATAATGACTTTTTTTTTAAATTTCTGCAACAGAGAGGGTAACTATTTTACTAGTTCATTCCCCAAATGTCCCCAGAGTTGGGGAGAGGGGACCAAAGCCAAGAAGCCAGCACAGGTCTCCCGTGTGGGGGCAGGGCCCAGGCACTTGGACCGTCCTGCACTGCTTTCCCAGGCCACAAGCAGGGAGCTGGATTGCAAGTAGAGCAGCTGGGACACAAACCGATGCCTCTTAAGGGACGCCGGCGCCACAGGCAGAGGATTCGCTTGTTATGCTGCAGCACTGGCGCCAGATTCAGTCTTAGTTATTTTCAGTACTACAATCATACATTGCTCTTGGGGTACCCTGCCCATTCCTGGTTTTTAGACGGCACGGTTGTTCCAATTCTCTATATGTCTATTTATTTCCCCAAGTATTACAGCCTCTCTTCTGAGTAAGCCACAGTCTGTGCTTTGCCATAAGCCAGTGCGACAATGCTGTCCAAGGCCTCTGGCTAGTGGTTGTCTTCCCTTCCGCCCCCTATCTCCTGTTCTGTGGTTCACTGTGGCCTCCTGTGGCTTCCCAGCTTCTTGGCCGGCCAAGGGAGGAGCAGGACCTGCAGGGCTAAACCGAGCTGGATGCAGGCATTATGCCACTTCCCAGCTTCTTACTCTCCCCCGACTCACTTCCGCCTGGCTGGCTGGGCTCCAAGCCTGTGGGGTGCTCCCAGGAGGCCAGTCCCCTTTAGCAGGCACCCAGATCAGACCTTGTCTGCCCCACCAGGCCATTCATCTCCTCCCTCTGTCATCTCCTCCGTCTCTCAGACATGGGTTGGGTCTCCTCTTCCGTCACCCATCTGTCAAGTGACCTTCGTTGTCTTGCAGGTAGTCTTTGGGAGAAGGGTCCATCTATTTGTGTAGTTGGTTATAGTGACCTTGAGAGAAGTTTCTTAAGGGGAGGGCTGCAGGTGCATTTGGAAGACATGGTAACTTGGCCAGTCCCGCAGGGGACGTTTTGACTAATAGAGAATACATCCTGGCTATATAGTCGGCCCCTGTATGCAAGGGTTCCGCATGAGCAGGGTCGGCTGACCGGAATAAGGCTGTTTGGAGAAGAAAATTGCATCTGCACTGAAGATGTGCAAACTTTATTGGTATTGCTCCCTGAACCACACGTGTAACAGCTGTAACCCAGTGTTCAGTACTGTGAGTGATGCAGTGTCTGCAGGAGGGTAGGCATAGATTCCAGCCCAAGACAAGGCCATTGGTAGAAGCAGCTCAGGCATCAGCAGACGGTGGTGTTCTGGGGTCACCAGACCAATCCCCCAACTGGTATCGGGAGTCAGCTACGTCTGCCTCTGAGCATTTGTCGTGTGAGCACAAGGCTGAAAGCACACAAACACACACACAATCATGTGTCTACATGTACACACTCAGTATTGTTATTAAAACTGTTCTGGGTATTTTGCCATCGAGTACTTGATAGACACCAAAGCTAGGTCAGATCAGTGGGTGTCATTTCCACTCGGTGCTGTTTGCTTTGAAAGCAGAGAAGCCGTTGAACCTCAGGATTGAAGTCACAGTCCCAGCTCAGTGACTCTCAGGGTGGTGAAAGGGCTTTAAGCACAGTTGGCTAACTCACATATGTAGAGCTGTATGCGTTGCTAGAAAGGGTCATTTTTCCTTCTTGGTGTTTAGTGTTCAACATGAACAAAACCCATGTGGGAAACATGATCCCCAGGCTTGACTTTTTTTCCATCTTTTTCATAGGAAGCCCCTCCTTCTCAGGACATCCTGGTGTTCCTCACTGGTCAGGAAGAGATTGAAGCCATGAGCAAGACCTGCCGAGATATTGCCAAGCACCTGCCAGACGGCTGCCCCGCCTTGCTGGTCCTCCCCCTCTATGCCTCGCTGCCCTACGCACAGCAGCTCCGAGTCTTCCAGGGGGCCCCAAAGGTGAGGGTGCCACCTGTTCTGCCCAGCTTCACACTGTGTACCCAAAGGTGTTTGCCAGTGGGGGCTTGCGCGTCTGTCCGCAGGCTCCAGCTAAAACGCATGGGGTAGGCTACTCGGGTCCCAGCACAGCTGCTGAGAAGGTCCAGAGATAGGATGCACCTGCCAGCTGCTCCTGGTAAGAACAGGGATGTGGCCATGAGTGGGAAGAAGAGCACAGCCAGAAACCCAAAGAGAAACGAGTGACTTGTAAGATTATTGTTGCTACTTTTATCTGAAAGGGAAGTAGGGAGAAGAAGAGAGCTTCCCTCCATTGGTTCATTCTCCATCAGGCTGCTGTAGCTGGAGTTGGGTCAGGCCAAAGCCAGGTGTCCAGAACTCCATCCTCATCTCCTACATGGGCAGCAGCCCAAGTACTTGGGCCGTCTTCTGTTGCTTTTCCAGATGTATTAGTAGGAAACGGGGGCAGAAATGGAGCAGCCGGGGCTTAAAGTGGCACCACAGTATGGGATGCCACATTGCAGTCAGTGGCTTAGCCTTACTGTGCCACTCGTCAGCCCACAAATGGTTAGCTCTTCCCGGGGCCGCCGTTGTGCCATCCATTCTGACGTTCTGTGTGCCAGGCTCTGTGCCTACCCTCACATTGGTACTGTGGCCCGAAGAGAGGTAGTGAGAGCTGTTCAAGGGACACACAGCCCACATCTACTCGCTTCTGAATCTGTACCTCTTCTGCATCTCATTGCCAAAGAAAAGAAAAAGCACATTTAGGCCTGCCTTGCTCCCGCTCCTCCACCCGCCATTGTTAGAGCGACTGCCAGTGAGTGAAGTGGTCTTACCTTGGTCAGGAGTGAATTAGGAAATCAGTGGTGAGGGAGTGAGCTCAGACTCCTGACACGTGTGTGTGTGTGTGTGTGTGTGTGTGAGTGATGTGGCTCTTTTGTCTTTTTTTGTTTTTCCTTTAGGGCTGTCGCAAAGTGATCATTTCAACCAACATTGCAGAAACCTCCATAACAATTACAGGAATAAAATATGTAGTTGACACAGGCATGGTGAAAGCTAAGAAGTACAACCCTGGTGAGTGTCTCCCCGTGTGCAGCGAGCAGCTATTGGGCCTGCAGCCCCACAGCCTGCCCCCCTCCCGATGGCTCTCTGTGGTTGTGACTGACTTGGGTGGCAGGCATTGTAAATGTAACGTTCTCTGGTCAAGTCCACACAGCAGAGCTGAGGCAGGCGTGTGATCGAGGGCAGAGAAGGGCTGAGGGGCTGGGCAAGAGTGTGAATGCCATCAGCAGTTGAGGGAGAGGTGAAGAGACGGAAAGAGCTCCTCTACCCACTGGCTCACTCAGATGACTACAACGGTCAGATCTGGGCTGGTCCGAAGCCAGGAGCTGCTTCTTGGTCTCCCATGTAGGCACTGGGACCCAAGCACTTGGGCCATCCTCCGCTACTTTTCCTGGTGGATTAGTGGGAAGTGGATCAGATATGGAGCAGCTGGGACAGAAACCGATGCCCACATAGAAATGCCAGCATCACGGGTGTAACAACTAGCTAGACCACAGCATCAGCCCCACTCAGCATCGTTTTCACTCCCATCTGTTCCATTCCTGGCTTTGTTCTACAGAATGATTGCTCCCAGACACTGAAGTGTAGCGCTCTGCTAAACAGGTGTGCAGACTTCAAGTGTGTGTCTCCCAGAGATGATGGCACAATTACATGTCACTTAACCACAGGAACATGTTTTGAGAAAATTGTCTTGGGTGAGCATCCTGGAGTGTGCTGCACAAAGCTGGATGGTGTAGTTGCCTGCACTCCTGGGCTGGATGGCATATCCCATCAGATGTGCAGTCTGTTGTTGACTGAAACATCGCTTTTGACCCGTGTTGACAATATGGAATATATGCATCTTTATTAAGAAAATCTCATCTCCTAGGAAAGGTGCCTCATGTGGTCTGGTTAACTTGGAGGAGGGAGAGAGCACACACAGACTGGTGACACGAGGCTTTAATTTTTGAGTCATTGGTTGAGAAGGGAACCAACCCACCCTGGCTGCTGGACATGGTCCCGAGGTTAGCACCAAAAGTCCAGAATTCCAGGGGACCGTCCGTCCCAGGCAGACGGGAGGGGTCGGCCGTCTTCTGACCTCAGTGAGAGCTCTGAGGCTGCCACCCTGGCCACAGACTGCAGTAGGTTTTCTGATGTTGTGGTAGTAGTTGTCACATGGGGTTCATGCAGGGCCAAGCCACTGCGAGGCATCCTGGCTTTAAAGGGGCTTGAGTTTTTCCTTGTTCTGAGGTGCCCTGAGGGATGTGTTCTTTTTGTCACCTGCTTGATGGGCTCAGCAGAACACCAAAGTGCCCCTTCTCTCTCCAGACAGTGGACTCGAGGTGCTGGCTGTGCAGCGGGTCTCCAAGACCCAGGCCTGGCAGCGCACGGGGAGAGCTGGCAGGGAGGACAGTGGCGTCTGTTACCGGCTCTACACAGAGGAGGAGTTCGAGAAGTTCGATAAGATGACCGTGCCGGAGATCCAGAGGTAGGCCCGAGACGCGCCCAGCCCTGCCCCTCTGTGCTGTTTGCCCAGGGCTGCAGTTTGGACTCACTCGTTCATGAGCAGTGCTGACTCGCTGGGGACCAGGGACCTGGGGACAGGAGAGTGACCGTTGAGCCCTCACTGTTCACAGGTGTAACCTGGCGAGTGTCACGCTTCAGCTGCTCGCGATGAAAGTGCCCAACGTGCTCACGTTTGACTTCATGTCCAAGCCGTCTCCAGGTAAGCGGAGCTCCTCAGACAGGAGGAGATGGCAGCAAATGGACTCTTCCAGGAGACAAAAAGTGTTGGGGAAGGAAAAGGGATTCCAAGTGTTGCCTTTTAAAATTTCAGTTTGGTAAGGAACAACGTTAAGCTTCAGAACATCTCAAACTCATCAAGTGGGAGACTATGTATTGTTAGCACTGTAGGGACTCGGATGAGGCTCCCAACCCCAGAACGTGAGGTGGCTGGGGGCCCAGGGAGGACTGCAGAAGCCAGGCAGCTGCCCCCTGCTCAGCAGAGGACTGCCAAGGTCACGATCCTTTGTTTAGATTTTTCTTTTTAAGTGGGAAGTCAGATTTGAGAGAGGAAGAAATACAGAGAAAACCATTTCCTGTCTGCTGGTTTACTCCCCAAGTGGCTGCAACAACCAGAGCTGAGCCAATCAGGAGCCAGGGACTTCTTCCAGGTCTCCCATGCGGGTACAGGGTGCCAAGGCTTTGGGCCATCCTCCACTGCTTTCCCAGGCCACAAGCAGGGAGGTGGAAGGGAAGTGGGGCTGCTGGGGCACGAACCAGCACCCATATGGGATCCCAGAGCATGCAAGGCGAGGCTGTAGTCACCAGGCTACTGCACCGAGCCCAGATTCCTTTGTTTTTCACATAATCGGTCCATGTACTGCTTCAGTGTTTCTCTTAGGAGGAAAAACAGAAATAATCGGGACTCTTAATGATGGAAAGTTTGATCCTTGCTGTTTCATCAGTGTATCATTTTCTTTTCCTTCATTCCCACCAATCTGAAAAACCTTACAAAAACACAATTGGAAAGAGGGGGAGCGAGAGACAGTGTGCACAATCAGTGGGTATAGAGGGATCGCCATAGCCTGGAGTCCTCAGGCGATGAGTCCTCCCCCAGACCAGCTACTGACTGTGTTCTAGAAAAAAAAACAAAACACAAAAACAAACCGGCAACATACATCAGAAACAGTTGTGTGCCTTTTTTTTTTTTCTCTTTTGTCATTAAATCCTTGCAAACACAGAACGAGTAAGAATTTCAGTGTCTGAGTGTCCCTGGCCTGTGTCGCCGTAGCCCCTGGGACTCCTGCATGCTTTTGCAATCACCACTTGTGTTTTGTTTATGATCCTCTTTCTTTTATTATTTAGCATGTATGTGTGTGGCCCTCAGTCATCTTATGTCAGGTTGCGTTTGCGTGCACATGTTCTTCCTCTTTTCGTTCAGTATTTTTGTGTGAGGTTTATCTGTGTTGATGCATCCTCTGGACACAAAAGGCCATGCCATTTGGTCAACCAAAATGCACTTACCTGTTCTCTTTCAACAGACATTGCATTTGTCACCTAGAATATTTTACAAAATACACAGATATGTAACTAACTCCCTAGAAATAGGGTTTTTTTTTCCCCCTTAGGCATTTATTTGTTTATCTGAAAGGCAAAGTTCGTTCTTTCCCCATGTGGCCAAAGCATTTATGGCTCAAGCACTACAAAACCAGGAACCATGGCACGTCACCTCTATGCAGGAGACAGGGCCCCACGCTCTTGGCCCCTGTCCGTAACTTGGCCATTCTGCTCCTTTCCCAAGTGCATTACCAGGGAGCTGGATCAGAAAGGGAGCCACCAGGACTGCAGCTGGTGCCCATATGGGAAACTGCAGGCAACAGCATAAGCCACTGCACCACGATGCCAACCCCTGCAAATGCATGTTTCATTCTGTAAGGGTGGTGCATCTGCATGGTTCAAAATCCAGAAAGTGTTTTTTAAGAATGGTAATAGAGGGTCTGGCACGATAGCCTAGCAGTTAAAGTCCTCACCTTGTACACACCAGGATCCCAAATGGGTGCTGGTTCGTGTCCCAGCAGCCCCACTTCCCTTCTACCTTCCTGCTTGTGGCCTGGGAAAGCAGTGGAGGACGGCCCAAAACCTTAGGACCCTGCACCCGCTTGGGAGACATGGAAGAAGCTCCTGGCTTGGGCTCAGCTCAGCTCCAGCCGTTGCAGCCACTTGCGGAGTGAATCAACGGGTGGAAGATCTTCCTCTGTTTGTTTCCACCTTGTATACTGGGACTTAACAATAACAGTAAGTGGGCCCGGCTACATGGCCTAGCGGCTAAAGTCCTTGCCTTGAACACCCCGGGATCCCATCTGGGCGCCAGTTCTAATCCCGGCAGCTCCACTTCCCATCCAGCTCCCTGCTTGTGGCCTGGGAAAGCAGTCAAGGACGGCCTAAAACTTTGGGACCCTGCATCCGTGTGGGATACCCAGAAGAAGTTCCTGGCTCCTGGCTTCGGATCGGCATAGCATCGGCCGTTAAGAGGAAGATCTTCCATCCGATGATTCACTCCCCAAGTGACCACACGGCTGGTGCTGTGCCGATCTGAAGCCAGAAGCCAGGAACTTCCTCCAGGTCTCGCATGTGGGTGCAGGGTCCTCAGGCTGTCCTCAACTGCTTTCCCAGGCCACAAGCATTGGCCTGGATGGGAAATGGAGCTGCAGGGATTAGAACTGGCATCCATATGGAATTCTGGCGCCTACAAGACGAGGACTTTAGCTTCTAGGCCACCACGCCAGGCCCTAAAAAAACTACATCTTAAAATGGTAAACAGTGAGCAAGTGTCCTTGTCGCCTCTTGTTTCTGTGCCTCCCGAGTGGCTCTGACAGCTCGGTTTCTGTTGTTGGGTGTGCTACGGGTTCTCTGTATGTGTCTCAGTTTGTCTGCCAGTGACTTGGCTGTCGGGAGCATGACCAGGTCAAGGGTCAGCATGTTCAGAATTCACGTGCATAGCAGCAGGACAGCAGCCATCACCTACACAGGGAACTCAGCTAGAGACAGGGGTGCCGGGAGCTGTGGACGGGGTGCCGGGAGCTGTGGACAGGGGTGCCGGGAGCTGTGAACAGGGGTGCCGGGGAGCTGTGGACAGGGGTGCCGGGAGCTGTGAACAGGGGTGCCGGGGAGCTGTGGACAGGGGTGCCGGGAGCTGTGAACAGGGGTGCCGGGGAGCTGTGAACAGGGGTGCCGGGCAGCTGTGAACAGGGGTGCCGGGAGCTGTGAACAGGGGTGCCGGGGAGCTGTGGACGGGGTGCCGGGAGCTGTGGACAGTGTGTCGGGGCAGTTGTGGTTTTGACCTTGGCTCCAGCTCAGTGTAGACTTATCAAAAGCTCCCAGGTATACTAAACTCATTGCAACACCTTCCTCATTTGGATTTGTAGTCTCTTTATCTGTTGCTTTTCTTTTTTTAAAAAAAATTAAAAGCCAGAGTCACAGGGCCCAGCACAATGGCTCAATGGCTAACTCATTGCCTTGCAGGCACCAGGATCCCATATGGGCACTTGTTCATGTCCTGGCTGCTCCACTTCCCATCCAGCTCCCTGCTTGTGGCCTGGGAAAGCAGTTGTGGACGGCCCAAAGCTGAGCCCGCTTCAAACCAGGGGCCCGAGCAGCTGCCGTCTTGCACTGCTTCCCCAGATGTCTTAGCAGGGCAATGGAGCAGCGCTCGGGTTAGACTCTGTATGGGATGCTGAGCTGCAGGTGGTGGCTTTACTCACCACCCCACAGCGCTGGCTCCGGTCTGTTTCTAGATCACCTTCAGGCAGCCATTGCCCAGCTGGAGCTGCTGGGGGCACTGGACCGTCAGGACAACCAGCTCACCCTGACTCCAATCGGCAGGAAGATGGCGGCGTTTCCGTTAGAGCCCAGATTTGCCAAGGTAACTACCGCCTTCTCCTCCATGCCCTTTCTGTAGCTCAGCAGGGTGACCACTGAGCCCCGTGCTTCCCGAGCAACATTCCTGTTGACCCCTGCTCTGTGTGCAGTGCTGATGTGTGGCTAGGATTCAAAGACAGAAGTCCTGCGCCCAGGAGAGTTGCCACGTTCCTGTGGCGCTCACGGTGTGGTTGTGGCTTTAGACCCCTGCCCTGGACTCCCCAGGAGGGAGACTGCGCAGCCGCCAGGGAGAACATTGCTCCCAGCGGCTCCGGAAACCCTGACCACGTGATTGTTTCCTTTGACTTGCAGACCATCCTGCTGTCCCCCAAATTCCACTGCACAGAGGAGATACTGACCATCGTCTCCCTTCTGTCCGTGGACAGCGTCCTCTACAACCCCCCTGCCCAGCGGGATGAGGTGCAGGCTGTCCGCAGGAAGTTCCTGTCAAGCGAGGGCGATCACGTCACCCTGCTCAACATCTACCGGACCTTCAAGAGCCTGGGAGGGAACAAGGTGAGCCTGAGCCCCGCATCCTCCCGCACGGGGAGGCCCGTCCTCGGCTGCCTGCTGTACTGTCCGGAGTCTCGAGGAGGACCGGTGCATCTCGGAAGGGCCTGTGCCGGGGCAGCTGGCCAGGGAGAGGTGTGGGTGCACCCTCTGCCAGGCCAGGTTTACTCTCCATCAACTGCACCACTGAGGGATACGTTTGGTGCCTCAGCGTCTGTTTTTTGTGTTTTGTCTGTCTGTTTTTAAGATTTATTTTTATTTTTATTTAAAAGGCAGGTGGGAAGGAAAGACAGAAAGATTTTCCACTCGCTGGTTCACTGAGCCCCATCCACAGTCTGAAGCCAGGAGGTTGTCCAGGTCTCCCATGGGGATGCAGGATCCCAAGGCTTTGGATCGTCCTCTTCTCCCCCAGGTCACAAGCAGGAGCAGCTGGGACTTGAACTGGTGCCTCTCTGGGTGCTGCACATGGAAGATTAACTTGCTTTACCACTGCACTGATGCTTCAGTGTCTTAGCCCTGTAGTAGTTTTTTTGGTGTGGTAGTTTAGTTCCTCAGACCAAGAGGAAAATGGCAGTATATCCTCTCATGTATTAATATGATATATGCCATGTGTAGTTAATAATTATGCCATCTTGGGCCCACTTTTATTTAAAAAAAGAAAAAGCTCCCTCCAAGATAATAGCATCTATAACATTTTGCTGTGTTTGTCTGTTTGCTTGTTTGTTTATTTATTTATGTATATTGGAAAGGCAGGTATATAGAGAGGAGGAGAGACAGATCCATCTGCTGGTTTATCCCCCCACAAATGGCCTCAACAGCTAGAGCTAAACTGATCCAAAGCCAGGGGCCCGGAACCTCTTTGGGTATCCCACACAGGTTTAGGGTCCCAAGGCTTTGGAGCATCCTCAACTGCTTTCTCAGGCCACAAGCAGGGACCTGGAAAGGAAGTGGGATATGAACTGCTACCCATATGGGATCCTGGTGCAAGACAAGGACTTTAGCCGCTAGGCTACTGCACTAGGCCCTTCTCACTTTATTTTTAAGAAATAAGATTGTGTGGCTACAGTAAAGGCCCTCCACTCCTTTCCTGCTCCCTTTTTCTCTTGCACCTGCACTGGCGAGTGTGCCCAGGGGCAGAAGTGTCCTTTGGCACCACATTCCTCCACGCACTACCCTGGCAACGCGTGATCATTGGCCCTTTGTTTCTGTGAACCTGGCAACCCTGGGCGCCAGCAGCCTCAGATCACAAGTACTGGAGAGCAAAAATACCTTGTCACTGACTGACCAAGCTCTGGGCCTTGCGCTCCTTCCTCGGATGGTGCAGCCGAAGGGCCGCTGGCCCGGTGTTTACCCTGGGAGGGGCTGAAGCATCAGGGCGGGTTGCCGGGGTCACGCGCTGGCACCGCATCCTCACGTCTGAGGCCCTGGTAGCCGGTGGGGCGGGAGACACGTCCACCCCTGCCCGGGGGTTTGCTCTCGTGGCCTTCTGTCCGCCCTCTGCCGCCGCAGCCCCCAGCCCTCTTGCACCGGCTCCTCGCGCTGGCCAGCAGGAACTTCCCTGGGGCTGACACCTGACTCCGGGCCTGCAGGGAATGACTCGTTTTTGCCGAGTGGATGGTTATGAAATGGTCTCCCCAGTGCTTGTTCCTGTGCTCCGGGCCTCCTGGAGGGATTTGGGATGCTCGCTCCAGCTTTTGGGACATTACTGTTTCCGGTTCAGTGCGTTGTCGACTCAGAATCCTTTGTCCACTTTTCTGCAGGGTTATTGACCTTTTCTTACTGACTTGTACGGGGCTTTATTTATTCTGTTTTGAATTTTATTTGGGGGGCAGGTAATATGGCATAGTTTTTTAAACCAGCACTTGGGGCGCCTGTGTCTTGTGTCAGAATGCCAATTCCATCCCAGCTTCCTGCCACAGTTGATGACACAAGTGCTTGGTTTGCTGCCACCCATGTGGGTAAACCAGATAGATTCTTGGCTCTTGGTTCAGTTTTCTTGGAAAGCAGAGTGAAGGGATGGTCCCTATTGTAGTTCACTCCCAGATGCCCCAGCAGCAGGGGCGGGGCCAGGAGCTCCATCAGGGCCTCCCCCATGGCTGACGGGGGCCCAGGCACCCTCTGCTGCCTCCCAAGTGGAGGAGCCAGGACTCGAACCGGCACTCTGATCAACCGGACCTGGCTCTACCAAGCAGCAGCTTAAAGTGGCTGACACGACACCTGCCCCAGACATTTCCAGTGTACCCTGGAGGTGCTCATGCTTTGCTGAGCAGATCCCTGGTCTTCAGCTTTTCCCAGGATGACTTGAAATATGGACAGTCGCAGTTTTTACTTTGCCCTCCATTATTGATGTTTTCTCTTGCATTCCACACCTCTGCTCTCCAGGCGACTCCCTGTGTTGCTTTTGCCCTCTGAATTCAGTTGTGCTCTGCGAGCGTCGTTGGCTTGTTTTCTCTAGCGATGTGAGGATTACAGTATGTTTCATTTCCCCCGTTCCCATTCAGGATTGGTGCAAGGAGAATTTTGTCAACAGCAAAAACATGATGCTGGCAGCTGAAGTGAGAGCACAGCTGAGGGAGATCTGCGTAAAGGTATCGTCTCCTCTGGGGTTCCTCGGGGGACCCAGTTGTCATGTTTCTCTGGATAAAACTATAGAAAAATGTCTAAAGAAGGAGGAAGGTAAAAGTTACCCACCATCCCACTTCTCTGTTTTGCTGTTTCCTCGTAGCTGAGGCTTTGCTCTGCATTTTTTGTGTCATTTGTGTAATGTCTAATCAGTTTTATGAACTTTGTCAGGATTGTCCAGTGTTAGTAGAATTTGTGCTTTTTAGTGAGAATGTCTTTGTTCTGTTTTTAGATGACAAAAGCAGTGTGTGCTTGTTAAATATTGACGCAGAACAGTTTGTTCCTGAGAGTAGGAATCCTCCTCTGAGCGTTGGCGCTGCCGCGGCTCTCGGGACGGGCCCTCCCTGAGGCTGAGGGCATTAAGGGACGGCCTCACGGGTGATCCTCCACACCTCCTGCAGAGAGGGTCTAGAAGAAGCAGTTTGGAGTCACGAAAGCTGCTGTCCCTGGGCCTTCTGGTCCCTCTGTGCCGGCTGCACTCAGGCCCACTGGAGACTGTTCAGGACTCCCACATCAGACCTAAGCACCCCTCAGTGAGAAGCTTGTCCGCCTCGGGTGATGAGGTGTCCACCGCTGGCCCGTGTCGGCGGCCAGAACTAGAAGATTCCATGACTTCCTGCAAGGGCAGCAGGGCGAGGAGGACAGTGACTGACAGCTGGCACCATGGGCATTGCAAAGGGGATGGGCAGCGTGTGCTGCTTCACACAGGCGAAAGCCCAGGGCTGGGGAACCAGGCGAGGCCCAGGGAGGAGAAGGCAGTCTGACTAGAGGGCCAGTGGTGGGCAGTGGGCTCGCTCTGGCTCATTCATCATGGGCGTTTGCATTGTGTGTCCGGCAAGCAGCCAAGACACCCAAGGCTGTCAGTGCAGACTGGTTCAGGCTGTGCCTTAGCAGACACTGGGCAGCCATCAGGTGAACTGCAGCAACGGGCTAATGACGTCATCAGCCCAGGGGAAAGGCTTTCCACCCTGGCATGTCCCAGGGAAGACTAGGGTGAGGGGCTGGGAGCTCAGAGAAGCGTCTCCCTCTCGGTGCCTGTTCCCCCAGCTGTCTCCCTGTCCCGACGTGCCCTCCATGCTGAGCCCTGCACGAGAGGAGACCGCCCCTCAGCGTCAGTCAGGCAGCAAGCCATGGGCGCGCTGCAGGTCCTGTTGCTGCCACCCGGACATCTGGGGTCTTTCACATCTCTTGCTTTCTCCTGACACAGATGTCGATGCCCATGGCGTCATCCCGAGGGGACACGGAGAGCGTCCGCCGCTGCCTGGCTCACAGCCTCTTCATGAGCACCGCCGAGCTGCAGCCGGATGGCACCTATGCCACCACAGACACCCACCAGCCAGTGGCCATCCACCCGTCGTCTGTCCTCTTCCACTGCAAGCCGGCCTGCGTCGTGTACACAGAGCTGCTCTACACCAACAAGTGCTACATGCGAGACCTGTGCGTGGTAGACGCCGAGTGGCTGTACGAGGCTGCCCCCGAGTACTTCCGGAGGAAGCTGCGGACTGCCCGGAGCTGACAGCTGCAGGCTCTCCACTGGCACCCGTGGAAGCTGTGCCTCTCCACACAGCTAAGCATGCCTGGCTTCCCAGAGCTTGGAGTTCCTGAGCCTGGACTTGCCCTTTGGGGCCTTCAAAATTAACACTTTTACTTCCTGCTGGTGACTTGGGGGGATGTGGTTAACTTTGAGGCTCAGCTCTTTGTCTGCCAAGTAGGGCTGCAAAGGAGAATTCTCCCAGGGTAGGGTCATGAAGTGAAGGAGTGTGGATGGAGAGAGCCAGAGTTAGACCTATGTGGGGTACACATACAATGGACCATGACCTCCCTGCCTTTTTATTATTTTTTAAAATTTTTATTTTAATTTTTGAATTTTTTGTTATATGTCTAGAGTCTGGGATTTCCCCCTTTATTATTATTTCAGTGATTTATTTGAAATGCAAAGTTAAGTCCTCCATCTGCTGGTTCACTCCCCAGAAGGACTTGAACCGGTGTCCCTGTGGGATGCCAGTATCTCAGGAGGCTGCTTAAGGTGCTGTGCTGCAACAGTGGTGCCACCCTTAGATCTTTCTACCTGATTTAAGTTGTAAAGTACAACAAAATCCCCTGGGCTGTCATGGCCGAGAAGGAGGCAGCCTTCGGATGCTGCTGTGCTTGGGTGCTGCCCCTGATGTGCTTTTAACATCTGTGTGAGGCTGGAAAGTTGGTGACCTGAGATGTTAACTGTGGTAGCTGGTTCTGGGGAGAGGTGGCTGTCTGTCACTTCTTGGGATGGCCCTCTACAGACCTCCTGTCTCGGAATGCACGCTGCTCCATGTCTGTCTCCAAGCAGGGACCCTAAAGGAGCCCCTGGCACCTCCTTGGCATGGGTCCCCGTCAGAGACTGATCTGTATCTAGTGAACATGTCAAGACCCACACGTGTCCCTGACCGAGTGCAAGTCCCCGCGCACACCCAGGACTGGGCTACTTCTCTGCCCGGGTCCTGTGGGCCTCAGGTCAGTGTGGGGAGTGACCGACTCTAAGCTCCTTCTCAGCTGGTTCTCCTTGGCTAAGGCTCCTGGTCAGAGGTGGCAGGGAGACGGGAGCTCTTGGTCAGTGAGGTCGCAAATGTTTTAAAGATTTATCTAATTTATTTGGAAGGCAGAGATAGAAAAAGATGCCTGGTTTACTCCCCAAATGTCCCAACAGCCATGGAGTCTGGGGCGCCATCTGGGTGTCCCACGTGGGAGGCAGGGCCCCAAACACTTGGGCCAACTTCCACCGCCTCCTCAGATGCATTTGTGGGAGCTGTATCAGATGTGGAACAGCTAGGACCGGAACTGGCGCTCATATGTGCTGCCTGCACTGCAGGCAGCAGCTTAACCAACCGTGCCTGCCCCAGGTGGTCTGTGTTAGCGCAGCTTGGTTGTTTGCTGGCTTTCTTTTGCTTCCTTGGAGGAACATGGAGGCAGTCAGGCTTCGCTGCTTCCTTCCTGCCTGGCCCTCACTGCATTGGTTGGACGGATGTGGAGGGTCCACAGTGTCTTCCTGTCCTGCTATTTCATGGAGGAAGAGACTGTGCAGGTTCTTCTGAGCTCTGGGATTATCAGGGGAGTCTGGCCTGGGAAGATTTTAATCTGACTGTGCTTGCTTCAGGCAGGCAGACATGTGCTGCTATTTTTGTCATTATTCCCCAAACACATTGTATCAGTGACGAGCAGGGAGCACAGAGGCACCCCCTCCCTCCCCCCCAGACAGGGGCAGTGTCTTCGCTCCAGGACCTTCGAGGGGAGCTGTCTCCAGAGCTGGTGAAACACCTCCATGTCGGTGACTGAACTGTCTCCAGTTGGCAATGTCAAGGCTCGCCCCGTTAGCATCTGTGACGGGAGCCTCGGTCCTGAGCCCCTGGTTTGTAGCCAGCATTTCAGGGTGCCTGCCCCTGTGATTTCATTCCTGTAGAAATGGTTGCAAGTTGACCAAATGGGATATGATAGGACCTGTATACCTCACCTGACAGCGTTCTTAAGCTTTAAAGTGGTTCTTCTCATTACTGACTTTCTGGAATTTTCTAGAAAGATTGTTTTTTATTTTAAGTGTGTTTTCTTCATTCTCTTAATAGGAGGCAAGGATTTGTAGCCCAATTTGGGAAAAGAAAACTCTGTGTGTGTGTGTGTGTGTGTGTGTGTGTGTGTGGTGATTTATGTATTATCTGAAAGGCAGAGTTACAGAGGGAAGGAGACAGAGATCTTTCATGCACTGGTTCACTCAGATGGCTGTGAGCAGCTGGAAGCCAGGAGCTAGGAATTTTCCGCGTGTCTTCCCAGGGGTGCAGAAGTTCAAGGACCCAGGTCATCTTCTGAACGGACGTCCATATGGGATGCTGGTGCTGCAGGCAGAGGTTTACTATAATGTATTTTAAATAAGACAATCATTCTGGTTGTAAAAAATGTGGGAGGGGGCACAAGTTATTAGGTTCCTTAGCCAATTCTCTCCCTAGGGAGAGCTGTTCTCTAGGTGAGGTGAAACTGGCAGTAATTTATGTGCTGCTTAAGTACGTGGGAAGCTTCCAGAATTGCATGTTCCCTGAGCAGCAGGGCATATAAACAGCTTCTATGTAGCTTTAATGTTTCTGTACAGAAATGTGTTTATTTTTGTAACATTGACGTGGAGTTTAGATACAGTATTTAGTTTTCTGTTGGGCTCCTAGGAAGTTCTTTTTAAACCTAGAGCTGCTCTGGGTTGCAGTCAGATTGGCAAACCCACTCTGACTGCACTACATACCTCCCCACACAGAAGGAAGAGCGTGCAGGAGAGAAGACACCTTCAGCTTACAGCTTCCCTGTGGCACTGCAGTGTGGCCCTGAGCCCCTCTGACCAGCGGTCACATACCTGTGAGATCCACATCTGGTCAGCCCCTCTGAAGGGCTGTGTGTGAGCAGCACAAGCCCTGCAGGCGGCACGGCCAGGGAAGTGGGGGTCTACCTCCAGGGCAAGGCGCCTGGCCTTCCAAAGGAAGGGCTGCAAACCCTGACCCTCAGTGGGAGGGGCAGAGAGGGACGAGACGCTGCAGGTCCAGATGATGGCCAGCTTCTCTGAGCGAAACTGCACTGCAACACATAAGCCCTCCTGTGCCACCACCAGGAAAGCTTGGCACCGTTGCCAGGCATCTCAGCAGGCAGCGCACGGGATGAAGCACTGTGCTGGTGGGCAAGCTGGGGTTACCACACTCCACTGTACTTCATGAGGGTATTGGAACTTGCAGGAAAAATCCAGAGCAAGGACAAAAGCCAATTGGTTCAGGGTATGTTGTATTTGAGTCTGGTCTTCATCCAAATAGAGCCTTAAAAAGAAAAGAAAGTAACTTTATGTAAGGCTCACATTTGCACTTGACTATCAAAAATCCATTAAAAGCAAATCTTGTAAAAAGTTGCATGAGTCGTCATGGGTGTCATTTCCCTTATTAATGAAAAGCTGCTTCAGAAATACTAAGTATTAGTCACATATACATATGTAGATATACTTGCATATATTTATTTCAAAGAGTAACACATCTCAATCCAGCAGTGGACAGTGCTGGGCCAGGTCGAAGCCAGAAGTCTTCTGGGTCTCCCACGTCGGTACAGGGACCCAAGGAGTTGGGCCATTTTCTTCTGCTTTCCTAGGCCACAAGCTGAAAGCTGGTTGGGAATTGGCGAGGCAGGGGCTCAAAGCAGATCATATGTGGGATGCGGGCCCCAAGCATTTGTCTTGCTATTTCCACACTTTTGAGAACACGTTTTCTTGTAATACTTTACATGCCCTGTACATGGGGGAGGACATACCATGTTTAAGCCATGGCTTCCTGCTCCCAGGAAAAACGATTTCTGCTTAGAAGTTGGAAGTGAGGCTGGAGAGGGAGCAGAGGTGGTGGATCCCAGAGGTTAATCAAGGATCCTGTCCTTCAGGAGGGGAGTTGGCCAGTGAGCCAGCCTGCCAGGAAGCTTGAGCTCAAAGGAGAACGAGGAACTGAAAGCATGCTACAGTGGAGGTGTCTTGGGGACCTGGCACGGAGTCAGAAGGCCTGGTGTGCTCTGAGCTGACTTGATGGGGAGTGGAAAAGTGTCAGCCGCTCCTGCAAGGCGGCCCTCGGTTCCACGCGCCGCGCAGCCCCGGCGGCCCCGGGCAGAGGGCGCCGTCGCTCCTGTCCCAGGTCCGCGGGAGGCGCTTCCGGGCGAGGACGCGCTTCCGCCGGCGGTCACGGGGCGCAGGAGCCGGGGTCGTCCTTAGCCTCCGCACGTGTCGGCCTCCTGGTGCACCATGCTCCCGCTGCTCCGCTGCGTGCCGCGCGCCCTGGCCTCTGCCGCCGCCGGCCTCCGCGCCCCGCAGCTCCGGCAGCTGCTGCAGCCCGCGCTCCAGCCCGGCGCCCGGCCCTTCGGGCTGCTCAGCGTGCGCGCGGGCTCGGGGCGGCGGCCGGGCCTCCTGCGGCCACGCGGGCCCTGCGCCTGCGGCTGTGGGGGCGGCGCGCTGCACACCGAAGGTGAGGGCCCGGGAGGGGAGCTGGCGTGCACCTGCCCACCGCGGCTCCCGCACCCCATGGGGAGGGGGGCGCCGTGGATCTGGGGGTTGCCAAGGGCGGGTGCCTTGAACCCGTGCCCTTCACTTTTCCTGAATGGACCCCGCCCCTCCTGCCCCCTCCCAAGCCCGGGTTTCTCATCCCTAACACCCCGAGCTCCGTTAGAGGCCCGAGCAGGTGAAGCCCAGCCGGGAGGCGTTTTCGCAAACACGTGGGCTTTTGGGCTCCTTCCCCAGGAGACAAGGCGTTTGTGGATTTCCTGACCGATGAGATTAAAGAGGAGAAGAAAATCCAAAAGCACAAATCCCTCCCCAAGATGTCCGGAGGCTGGGAGCTGGAAGTGAACGGCACGGAAGCCAAGCTCGTGCGGAAGGTGGCCGGGGAGAAGTGAGTACCGGGGGGCCGTCCCCGAGGCTCCGTGTGCTGGGCTGGGCCAGCGACCCTCAGGAACGTGAGCTGGTGAGGAAGGCAGCCTATAGTGGGGTGGGGTTCAGCCTCTCCCTCCCCTACGTGGATATCTCCTTATCTAATCCTTTTTTTCTCCAGTTTTTTTTTAAAGATTTATTTGTTTTTACTACAAAGTCAGATATACAGAGAGGAGGAGAGACAGAGAGGAAGATCTTCCCTCGGATGATTCACTCCCCAAGTGACTGCAATGACCAATGCTATGCCGATCCGAAGCCAGGAGCCAGGAAATTCTTCCGGGTATCCCACACGGGTGCAGGGTCCCCAAGCCTTGGGCCGTCCTCGACTGCTTTCTCAGGCCACAAGCAGGGAGCTGGATGGGAAGTGGAG